GAAAACCTCAAGCTGAGGATTGTCAGAAATGCCTAAATGAGAGGAGTCCCCCCAAAATCTTTTGGGAGGGGAGGCCAGGCTCATTTACTGCCTCCCTCAGAGTCGGACTCGCCTCGTCTGAGAAGCAGGAAATTCTCATTAATGGCTAGTTTATTTTCACTGAAACCTCCCCAAAGTCCTCTGGACAAAGGTAGATACAATCAGCTTTACAAGCACCACTGAATGCTTGAAAGATTAACAAATACATTGTTTTTGCTGGCAGCTGGCCAGAGGTTTCATGTGAACCAGGACAGAAGACAGCTAGAAGCTGGCAAGTGACGAGAGGCCTGCATTCTGTGACAGGGCCTCCCGACCAGCCCCTGTCTCTGAGGCCCAGTGGTCACTGACCTCCGAGGGGAAGGGTCCGCGGGCTTGCCTGGGAGCCCTTGTGCGCAGGCATGGGCTCTGGCCTGAGGGAGGCCCTGCTGGCAGCAGGAGGGAGTAGGCCCTCAAGTTTGTGCACGTCAGGCACATACACAGTGCCTGGCACCTAGATTCACCCAATAAATCCCACAAGGGAAACAAACAGAAATCCCCAACGCTGACAAAGCCCTCTGCTCCCACCCCAGTCCTGGTCTCCCCTGGGCTGTTCCCAGCCTGCAGCCCCCGGACAAAGAGCCCTCTGTGAAATGAAGGAACTGCACACAGGACCTGAGGATGAGGATCCTGGAATTAGCCATTGGCAGTCAGCACCGGGGCCTCGGAGCCTGAGCCCAGGCCTCCTCCTGGATAGCAGCAGCTGCTTGGCCACGCTGCAGGCCCAGCTGGACCTAGGCCACGGGCTGGGACCTGGCACTGTCCCTTACCTTGCCCACCTGGGGGAGTGAGGGGGACGGGGCTACCGCCTTCATGAAGCCCCCTGTCCACTCCTGCCCCATTTGAAATCAAGTCACCCTCATCTCAGCTCCCAGCCCCGCATGTTGCTGTCCTTTATAGAAGCCACTTCCTCACTTGTACTTAGAGGGGATTTGTTTTTTCCTTTCTAAAAACGTGGCAGTGACAAGACACAAAGTCTGAATTCAAACCCCAGCTCTGCCGTCTGTCCACCGCGTGAGCCCAGGCGAATGACTTAGCTTTGAACCTCAGCTTTCCCAATCTATGAACTGGGTCATGTGGCTATAAGGAGTAGTTTTCCAGGCCCTACTAGATGCTAAGCTCCTGGGTGGAGGCTCTAGGATCTTCCTACGGCCCTTGCTTAGAAAGGCCTCAGCAAGTGCTAGTGGGTGTACGGGCGGACAGACAGTTAAATGGATGCGCAGAGGTGCCCACATTCATGACAAGTCCAGGTGTCCTAGCAGGAAGGGGCAGACGGAAAGCTGATACGGTCGGATCAGGCCCCATCTGTGGGCGTCAACAGGGCGGTAGCTCCCCGAGGGCTACCCTTAGGCTTTGACCTCAACCTCCGTGGAGGCCCTGTTCCTTGCAGGCCAGGCCAGGTGCTGCCGGGAAGTGTGCAGAGAAGGGAGGGCCACACCCTTCAAGTCTATCTTACCAGCCCCATGGTTCCAGCGTCACAGGGAAGGAACGGAGAGGGGCCTGTGTGGTATATGCCTCTGGCTCAGGCAGACCCACCTGAGTGATGCATCGCAGCCTCCTACTGAACCCAAACTGCACTGGTCCACCCACCACACCTGTGGACTTGCACTCGCTCCGTGTCCCGGCCCTCAGCCGGGCCTGGTGACTCGGGAGCCCTGCATGTCTGCAGGGCGACATCTCTGCTGCTTAACAGTGCCCGGGCGTGCCCGCAGAGGCCCCCTGGCATGAAGGCGAGCGTGGTGGCGAGCAGGCTTTGTTTGAGTTGTGGCTCTGCCACTTGGCTGTCGTTCCTGACCCCTGAAGTGGAACAGGGAATACCCACTTTGCAGGTTGTTAGGAGGGGCAGAGAGAAAGTTCGGGAGATGCCTGAAATGGGGCACGGGCACCCAGTAGGTAGTAACCTTGACCTTGTCACCAAGATGGTCTGAAAAAGAGGGCCTGCATGTAACTGCCACGTCTCCTCCTCTCTTCCAGAATCTTGGTCAACATGGACAACAACATCATTCAGCATTACAGCAACCACGTCGCCTTCCTGCTGGACATGGGGGAGCTTGATGGCAAGATCCAGATCACCCTAAAGGAGCTGTAGGGCCCAAGAGGCGACTCTTTCCGACCCTGGGGGCAGGCTCCAGCCGAGGGCCAGCTGGGAAGTGGCCCCATGCCACACACAACCTCTCGTCATGCCTCAGTGCTGTTACTTGAATGCCTTCCCTGAGGGAGAGGCCCTCGAGTCACAAACCCACAGATGTCAGAGCCAGGAAGGGACCTGGGAGGTGTCCCCATCTGACCCCTCATCTCATGCTTGAATCTACTCTCCAGTCTTCCCGTCGGGCCAGAGACAGTGCCTTCTTGGTTATTGTGGCCACAGACTGTTTCCTGCTCCGAAGACTCTTTTCTGCAGCATCTTCTTCCCTCGGAACAGGCGGACGCCTCCCCGCCGCTGACTTGTGTCTGCCTCCCACTCTTGATTTTCCTGTCCGCTTCAGATCAAGGATTTCTTCCCCCTGAAAACTCTTGATTTCAGTACAAATGACTTCTAAAAGACTCATGCGTGGGAACAGCCCTTCTCACAGGTGTAAATAGCGCTCACACTGGAGTAACGTGACCACCATGGCCACTCCTGTTGTATACATTTCTTATTTACAATTTCCACCTTGTTAAATATATATATAGAGGTACATATTGTATAATATGCATCAGTTTATTTTATGTGACGTTTTATTTTATACTGCTTCTGTATACATTTTTATCATTTCAAAAAATGTGTATTTCACATTTCTTGGACTATTTTTTTAGCTGTTATTCAATAATTCATTTTGTATACTCATGGTATTTAGTAATAAAATCCCACCTATGTATTTCTTCAAAGGCTGCTCTTGTTTCTTTGTGAGTTTTCTGGGAAGAGAGGGCGAGGGTGGACCAGGCACTCTGCGTCCCCGTGAGCGCTTGTGCTGGACTGGAAAAGGGTGTGGGCTGTGCCCTGGGAGGCAGAGGGGCCGCCTGCAGGGAGCAGCACCCTGATGCCTCTGGCTGCTGTGCCCCCAGGCTGCCTGCTCTCACCTGCACTGCAGGCCACTCCGAGCGCCCCCCGACTTCAATCAGCATCTCTGCTTCCCCCTGTTCAGATGTTAAGGTTTCTTATAAACTTTTATCTGAACAAAATGAAAACAGGAGAAGTTTGAAATCCATGAGCCTCTCTAAGGGCCTCCCAAGTCCCAGTGCCCCAGGCCCTGCTGGGGTCAGGGCCAGGACTGGGGTCAGGCAAGTGAGGCACTTGCCTCAGAGGCAAGAAGCACACGCACAAGATCATGACGAATACAGTATCAAAAACTGGAAGCCAGGATCAGGACTACAGGCATTTTCTTGGTCTCAGGCTCCAGCATGGCCTGCCTGGCCGCTCCTCAAACTACTGCAATGTTCTATGTCAATCACGTCTCAGTTTCTATTTTAAAATTCAGATTCTCAGGTTTCACCCCAAATCTACAGAATTTGCCTTTTAACAAGATCTCCAAGTGATTTGCATGCACATTTAAATTTGGAAAATATTTTATTAAACTACCCTAACCCTTACGAGACACCTTATAGTCCCACTGAGAACTTTAATAAAGTTACCAATGCCTCAGGTCAACTAAATCACAGCTTTGAGGGGCACAGGAGGGCTATCTCTGAGGCAGCTCCCAAGATGACCCTAACATCCAGCAGGGTTTGAGATCCACTGGGCTGGCAGCAGCCGTGGGAGGCCCATGATATCTGATCCAATCAAGACAGTGCATCCCAGCTTAGGGGCTCAACTCCAGGCATGTATTCTACAGAGCGTGGACTCAGACTGGCCTACATAGTCCTGCTCTTCTCTTGCCAGATCCCCTCTTTCCTGACCCACTTGGAGGGGCTCCCTCTGGGGTGACAGTTCACCTGCCTGCGGGGAGGAGATGCCTGTCTTGTTCTCTGACATGTGGCCACTGGCCTCTGCCTATGGCAACTCCAGGGCTGACTGCTCCCTGCTAAGGTCCCACAGGGTCAGAGGACCTAAAAATCAAGGCCTTTGAGGTCTGGTCCCATACTCAAGTACAGGGTCAAAGAAAGACTCAGCTGCAAGTGTCAACTTTGATAGAGGTTTCCAGAATATCTAGTACCTAAGTAGACAATTGATGACCTGCTAGAGTTTTCTTTAGTCCCAACAACAAAATTTTAATTAAAATTAGTTGTCAACATTTCAAATCAACGGAGTTCACATTTTAAAGATTTCCCAAATTGTTGAAAACTGCAGATCCCACCACCATCAGCTGCAGCCATGGTGAGGCTCCTTTAGACAGGAAGCAGCCCCAGCTTCCACCCTGGCCTGACCTGTCTTACTCTGTGCATTGCCTGCCCAGCCCCTGGAAGTACTTGGCCTGAGCCCCCTAAATTCTGATCTGACTGTTGACCTTAAGGAGAAGCTAAGGAAAGGAGAGGACGGAGCACCGCGAGATCCAGACTGTTGCTATTTGCACAGCACTGCCCGCTGCCTCCTGAACATCCCCAAGCAGTGGGAAGAATCTGAGGTTCTCAAAAGGCCAACTTCATGAGAAGCAAGAACTCTGCTTTATGGGCTATGTTATTCTCTCCTTCTGCCTCCTTCTGCCTCACCCCCACCCCCCGCCCCTTCTCAGAGGGAGAGCCAGTTAGCAGCCAGCTGAGATGTGAAGGCCCAGGTTGTCACGTGCAGGGAGAAAAGTCAAAGGAGAAAGCCAAGGGCCTTGTCCACGGGAGACGTCCACTTACAAAGCGAAGGACACCTGGGCTTGGGGAAGGAAGGAGGGGGTGGGTCGCTACTTCTAGTCTTTCCTGGTGCTTTGGGAATCTCTGCATGTGGCGAGAAGTGGCTGGGCAGACCTGAAACTGTTAAGGATTGTGTCAGACACATGCAGGGGGGGGGGGGGGGGCGGGGGCGGCCAGGGGGCGGGCAGGTGAGGGGCGAGAGGGTATCTACAGAGCGCAAGGCCTTCCGCCCCCGGGGCTGTGGCCCCAGCAGGGTCCGCCCATGTGCTGCGGCCTCTTCTGGAGCTGTGTGTGGAGCACCGTGGCCGCACTCTCCCTGAAGGCCAGCTCTGCGGGCTTATCTGGGGGAAGAGGGGTCCAGGGAACCTCCTCATGTATGTCACAAGTGCCACTGGGCCTTCCTGGCTCCTGGGACGTCAGGAGGAGTCTGAGGGTCCAAGCCGGGATGGACCCACCTAGGCCGCAGCCTGTGCTATCCACCTGCAGGGTCACTCTGGGCCCAGGGCCCTGGCTCAGCATCAGGCTTCTAGGCAGGGTGTCTGCCCACAGATGCCTTGTCCCCGGAGTCTACCTCCAGGAACCCTGGCGTCCAAGGGGAGGCGCGCAGAAGCCAGCCCGAGTGGGTGCCCTGGAGGTTCTTTCCTGGGAGGTTCTGTCCACGCCTTACTCTGCTCAGGAACGCGCAGTCAGCGGGGTCGGCCCATCCTCCAGGAGAGAGCAGGAGCAACGGCACATGAGGCAGCCCAGCTGTCACCCCCAGGAGGTGGCAGGGTGTACCCCATCCTCCAGCAGTCACACACGAAACACTCATTCCCGGAATGAATGTCACAGGGGCCCAGACGGGGCAGCGGGGGGCTGGGGCCTTCCCCGAGCTCGCGGGCAGTTGTTACAACACTGGGATCCATTTGTTGTCCTCGTTGTAGAGAAAGGACTGCTTGCCCAGGAATTCCGGCTTGTAGGTTGCTGTGGGAGAGAGACACATGGCGGTGAGAGGAAAAGGCCAGTCTGAGGAAAGGGCTCGTGCCCTCGGGCTGGCAAGTCTGGTGAGGCTGCTTTCTCAGCCCCTGCCTCTCATGTGGGGAGACAGAGAGGAAAGGAAATGGCCGAGGCAGCACTTGAACTCAGCTTCCTGCCTTTTAAAACTCCTTTTAACTTCTTTCTTTCTTTTTTTAAAAAGATTTATTTACTTATGCATACTGGGATAGAGGCCACAGGTGCAATGGGGTGAGAGGACTCACCAGAGACAGAGTGGGGAACAGAACAGACAGACTGACTGAAATACACTGCTGAGGGGAGCAGCAGGCGAGTCAGGAGAGGTCTGCCGTGCCATGTGGGTTGCTCCCTGGCTGGGGAATCAAGCTCGTGCCACAGTGACTACCAATAGCTTCGTAGTGCTGAGACTTAACCCCTTGTGCCACCAGGGAGGCCCCTCCTTTTAACTTCTTTAACAGAAGAAAATTTGCACAAGTTATCTGATTTTGAAAAATAATATTGAGCAAAGCAAGGTATCAACTTGATGGAATTTTGTTTTGATTTAGCGCAGAGATTTTCAGGAAAGTGGAGCCATGACAAGGGCGCACACGGTTCTCTAGGGGCCCAGTAGCCAGGACCCTGCAGGACTTTGCCACCACAACCCCCGCGGCTAGAAATACCCCTCGTGATACTGATTTGGCCGACAATGCTGGTGCAGTTCCTGGGGGTGTGGCTGAGGGCACGGGCAGCAGAGCGCCACCCACAACATCAGGAAGGCGGATGGTGTGCTTCCACCAGGAAGACCCCCCGGAATGCCCACCTCTGTGTGGGGGACTGGCCTGTGCACCACGCACGGCATGGAGAAGGCGCTTAGGAAAAACTCCTAGAGGACAGGGTGAAACGGGAGTCAGACTAACTGGGATCCCCATGTGTCCCTGCCTCCTGGACTTAACACTTGTACAGAACATTCAGCATCACAACAGTCAGACCAACCATGTTCTGCCCGATGACCACAAGGTCAAACCACTGCAGCCTGTTGACTCGACGACTACTCTATCTCCAAGGTCAACGCTATGAGAATGACTTTCTCCCTGTCTCGTCTACCTTACATTTTACTCATCCTGTGTGCTTGGACGGGCAGTGCCTCTCCTACTGCAGGGGCTCCTCTGGGAGTAGGGATCAGCAAGCACCTGGCCCAAGTCAGCTTTGCCTCCCCAGGCAGCGGCATCACCAATGCTCATTGAAAGACTGAGTTTAACTGGCAGCCACCTCGACTCTGCCGTCCTCCTGCTATGCCACTGGCCCACCAGCACACCTGTCCACCAGCACACCTGTCCACCAGCACACCTGTCCACCAGCACACCTGTAGGCAATAATGTTGCTAGCTCTGACCAGTGGCAGGGGGTGGCAAACAGCTAAGTGGCCATGCAAAGAACTATAAGTAGGTTGGGAAATACAAAGACTGCCCACCAGAGTGAACCCCTCATGCTACTGGCCACCAGGGAGCTCCCAGGGGTGACGGCCCTGCTGCTTAAGCTCACCTGCACGAAGGAAGCGGAGCTAGCTGACTTACAAGAACTGCTCCAGGGAAGAGTCCCAGCTGAGTTTGTGACAGACAAGGCATAGAGGGGAAACAGCCTGAAGCTGCCTCTGCTTCTTACTCACTGGGACCTCAGACACCTCGCTCTCCAGGCCTCTCTTGCTCCCCATCTGTAAAATGACTCAACCAGACTAGACCAGTGGTCTAAACATCTTTAAGACATGAGACTTTTCACACTCGGGCAAAAGCTATAGTCTCTTTCCCCCGAAAATAATGTCTGCACCAAGTGCGCGGCCATCTTGGAGTCAGGCCCCAGTCCATCCTTGAGCCTCTTGGACGTTCACCTTCCTGAGCAATGAATCCCTGGCCTGGATCATCTCTAAGAGCCCTTCAGCTAAAGAAAAGACAAAAGACAACCTTTTATACTCTGAAAGTGTAAGCTGAAACGTCTTCCAGATCTGCTAACCCCTGTAAACTGTTTGGCAAACAGCCTGTAAATCCATGGCATCTGATGGCCCAGGAATGCCAAACAATTCCAGATTTGGTTTTTACAATCATTTAAAAACAATCCTCTGACCTGGGCCGGGCAGGCCTGGCTGAGTTGGCGCCACTGTCCACCGTCTGGTGTTGGACACAAACGACGCGCTGGAGATGAAATGCTTGGGGGGCCCCTTGTAGTCCACGATCTCATACTGCCCAGGGCCAGGCAGCGGCAGCTTCGGGGGCAGAGGCAAGGGCTGAGCAGAGAAGGTCAGGATGGGGTTTTTCCTTCAGAAAAGACAAAATGGGAAGATGAGATGTCACTACAGTAATCTATTGGGGACATGGTGGCTTTGATGGTTGTTAGACATAGCCCAGACCTGTCCTACACCAAATCATCTGCGAGAGGATAGACGTGGCACTGGGAGGCCTGGGCAGTGCCCTGGTTCCACTGGTGAGGTGGGGGGCCTGGATTTCAGCTTCCCCATCTGTACACTGGTGATCACAACAAACCATGGGGGGGTGTTATCAGGGTTGAGTGGATTATGCACCTAAATCACTCAGAGCAGGGCCCCCTCACAAAGTGAGAGCCGAGTACATGCTGCTGTTGAGCTCATCAGGACTGGCAGACAGCACTCATCTTACGTGCCAACTCGCATCCACTGGGCATGCCTGGCTGGAGCTCAGTAAGGAAGCTTACCCGGGCTCGGTGCAAAAAGCACTGGTGATCCACTGGTGATGTCTGCCATGGTCAGAGACCTAACAAGGCATCCCAAATTCCAGGGACTTGCCACCCCACCATTAGTCTCTAGAGGACATTCTAGCACTGATGTTCCAGAATCTTACTAAATCAAGAGACCTCTGAATAACACACACCACTTACATTATAATTGTTTTCAGGTCTGTCTCCCTTCCTTCAGGAAAGGGAGTCTTTTATGTCTGGTGTTGAGGGAACAGATGAAAGATAAATGCAACCTGTACTTGAGCCCTAGCTCTGTCACTAATTCACTCCGGGCCTCGGTCTCCCCAGCTATAAAATGAGGGGGTTGGACAAAGTGACCTCGAGGTCTATTCTAGTTGTGACCAGCCATCAGGCCTTGATTCAGAGAGGTTCCCTGGGTTGCCCAGAGAATTCTAGAAGTGGGTGCATTCCCGGCTCCCACCTCACTCTGAGGCTTCCTTGAAGCCCTCTTATCTAAAGGGAAGAAATGATACTGATAGCCACAGGAACCTTACCCCATCTTGAAGCCAACCCATCTGGGGTTCCTCACCACTGGAGCTCTGTTGCCCTTGGCCAATGCTTTCCCAAGCAGAAGTGTCCTTAAACCCAGAGAGCCTCTGGGGACCTAGACACATCCAATCCAACCTCCTTATTTTGTTAGCGAAGTTGGTGCCCAGAGAAAGTGAGTTACTCAAGTCACAGAGCACGTTAGAGGTAATGCTGGCATGAAGGCCTCCCCTTGGACCCAAGTCTCTGTGCCTGGCAGTTTGGGAAAGGCCAGAAAAACTTGAAGCAAAGAGGGGAACCCAGACCTCAGAACCCCAGCTTACAGCTTTACATGGTCCAGAGCTGTCCCCTGGTGGGGCTGGGCAGCTCATGAAGGCCCACTGTGCACTGGGGCCAGAGCTTTTATGGGTCTCGTAGCTCTAGTGTAAAAGTGACACTGATCCTGCCCCATGGAAAGAAAACATTTATCAAAGGCCGGATTAAGTGTATTCGTGGCTTCCAAGGTGAGCTGTTGTCTCAAATGGCCTGGCCGGAGAATAATGAATGTCTCCAGGACCCAGCAGGTCGCTGGGGAAGGCATCCAAGACCCTCAGGACACTCCCAGACACAGGTTCACCCTGCCTCAGGGATTCCCAGGATCAGGAGGGATAAAGGGGCAATTTTTTCTCATCATTAAAGGGCAGCAGATGGCCTCGGGGGCGGAATGCAGTATCTGCTCAGCAGGGTAGCGGGTGACAGATTACAGCGTTTGGGAAGAAGCATCCCATATCTAATTGAAAATCCCAGGGAACCTTAGGTGGGTCCCTCATAATTACCCAAATTGGAGTGAGGCCAACGGGGCTTGATTCTTCGGCTCTGGCCGTGACAGGACAGCATGTCTGTGCAAAACCAGTGGCTTTAAAACTCCAGGAAGTAGCGAGGGGTTAGAAAGGTGTCACTGGGTGTTTCACCTCCTCACTGGAGGTTGGAGCACCGAGGAGGAACTATTTTGATCTCCAAGAACCCTTGTCCTGACTCACCCCATTCACTGACTCATCATTGTGACGGGTAACAAAGGCCTAGGCAAGTGAAACCTTGGCCGACACTTCACTTCTTTTCTGAAGACCCCACCCCGCAACCCCCAACTCGCAAGCTGGAAAACCCTCGGTCTTTGAGTCAGTGAGGTGCCCATACCAAGGAGACACCCTCTGATGTGTTTTTCAACTAAGGAGCCCAGAAATGCCCGTGCGAACACCCACCCTGCCCGAGCACAGTTCCCACCCTCCCCTCATGCAGCTCACCCTGGCTGGCTTGATGAGGTATGTGGGCTAATTTGCTTTATCCTTGCAAGCACATTATGAAGTGTTCTTTTTGAAAATTATTTATTTATGTATATTTTACATCACTGTTCATTTTTTCTACAATATTTGCTTTCTTTTCTCAGGTGTAGTCCCTATAGAATTTCCACCACCAATTCTCCTGTGCGCCATCACCATAGTCGCTTGTGCTCTTCCTGCCCTCGTTTTGTTTTTTTTTTAAGATTTATTTATTTATGCATACAAGAGCTGGGGTACAGGCCAGAGATGCCGGGGGGCGGGGGTGGGTAGGGGGAGGTGAGAGAATTCACCAGAGACAGAGTAGGGAACAGAACAGGCAGATTAACCGTAAAGTACACTGCTGAGGGGAGCAGCAGGTGAGTCAGGAGAGGTCTGCTGCGCCATGTGGGTTGCTCCCTGGCCGGCTGGGGATCGAACTCGTGCTGCTGAGGCTGCGTATTGCTTCACAGTGCAGTGCTTAATAACCCCTTGCGCTACCAGGGAGGCCCCTTGTTTTGATACCTCTCCCTTCCCCTCCCCTGCAGAATGTCTCTGATTTATAGTTGTCTGTTTATTTTTGTTATGTTGTGTTGTATTTTTTATCGCTGTTATTTTTTTCCCCTGATCCCTTATTTAATTCCTCCTATGAGTGAAACATCTGATATTTTTCTTTTTTCCTTCTGACTTATTTCACTGAGCATGATCCCTATATTACGAACCCAATTTTCTGGTGATGAATTTGTATTCTAGGGAACTAAGCTCACAGGGCAGGTATGTGGGATAGTGGAGGTTGCGGGGAGGCCTGTCTTGGGGCCTGTACCCACTCTGCCTCCCCAGGAGACATGACCACCCTGTCTCAGGACCCAACCTCCCAACCATCTGGGCTCCACTTTTGTGGCAGGTGACATGGGACTAACAACTCCAGGGAGAATTAATGTCCCACCAATTCTTCCTGCATCCTGAAGAAAGCAGAACCAAAATGCCATCTTTGTAAGTCAGAGCCCTACTCAAGAATGGGGAGCCGAGCAAGCACTTCCAGGCCAAGACAAATAAGAGCAGGCGGCCCGTCCTGAACACGTGTGGGGAACCTGGTACCTGGGCTGCTTGTGCTTCTGGAAATGGGTGATGATTCTCAGAGGCTCCACCACTCTCCAGGCGGCCCTGGGGACCTGAGTATGATTAGGCTCGAGACAGATATTCTCAAAGGAAGCCACATAAGGATGAGAAGGAAACAGGATGCAGACCTTCTGGGGGCCCTGACAGTCCTAGGCATACCCGTTTTATTGCGCCTCGCAGATATTGCACTTTTACTAATCAGAGCTCGCAGGGAGCAGGTGCCAGGACAGCACCATCTTCCCAACAGCACACGCTCGCTTCTTGTCTCACATTTTGGCAATGTTCACCCTGTTTCAAACTTTTTCATGATGGTGATCGATATCTGCCCTGGTGGTTTGTGATGTGGTCTTTGACGGGACTATTGTTACCTGTTTGGGGGCGCCACGCATGCTCCCATAGCAATGGCAACTTAACCATAGACGTGTGTGTCCTGCCTGCCCCCCACCAGCCATTCCCTCCTCTCCCTCTCCCTCTCCTGGGCCTCCCTATCCCCTGAGACACAACCATATTGAACTTGGGCCAATTAATAACCCTACAACGGGATCCTGTGAAGGGGAGAGTCGCATGTCAAACTGGAAATGATTAAGCTGAGTGGGGAAAGCAGGTGGAAAGCCGAGAGCGCCGATAGCCAGGCCGCGGGAGCCAGTCAGCCAAGCTGGGAGTGCGCAGGGAAAGTTCCTGAAGGAAATGGAAAGCGCTCCTCCAGAGCTCACAGGAAGATAAGAAAGCGAAACGGGCTTATTGCTGAGCTGGTTTTAGTGGCCTGGACTGAAGATCAAGCCAGCCGCAACATCCCCTCAAGCCAGAGCTGAAGCCAGAGCAAGGTCCTAACTCAATTCTGGGAGGGCCGAGAGAGATGAGGAGGCTGCAGGAGAGACGATGGAAATTAGCAGAGGCTGGTTCATGAGGTTTGAGGGAAGACGCCTCCCCCCCCAAAACACAACAGTGCCAGGTGGGGCAGCAAGTGCTGGCGGAGAAGCTGCAGCAGCTCTGAGGTCTCTGGGGGAGGGGGCCGCACTGCATGACAGGTTTTCAGTATAGATGGAGCAGCCTGATGAAGAGGCCATTGGACTTTGACAGCGAAGAAGAGGAGTCAAGGGCTGGCTTCCACTAAAGGACAGGCTGGCTTTCTTGTCAGGGGTGATTTAGTTGAAGCCAATGCTCATTTACCAAGCTGAAAGTCCAGGGCCTTTAAGAAATCAACTCTGCCTGCACTCTACAGATAGAACAACAAAACCTGACGCTGATCTGTTAACAATATGGTTTACTGGACATTTTAAGCCCACTGTTAAGGCCTGCTGCTGCTCAGGAAAAAAAGATTTTTTTGGTAAGCATCAAACATGGGGTTGCTGACACCTCCGCCAAGTACTGTCCTTTTGAATAGGTCATCGGCCACACGTGTGCCTCATAGGCACCATCCAGGGGTTGTGATGGTTCAGTTAAAGAACAAAAAAGCGTTCCAGGGCAAAAATACCCACAGCTGGCTTTCACTAGGCCAAGTGGAATCTCCAGCACCTGCCCGAGAAGTGCTTCCCGTTTATATTAATGTAACCCTTTCAGCTAGTGCCTTGAGGGGATGGCTTTCCAAGAGCTTCTGGCTTCACCATGCCCGCCACGCCGGCACTATCAGAATAAAACTTCCTTTGTAGAAATTCTTCGTTGTTCAGTCTTTGGCTTTCTGAGTGAGGAGCAAAACCACCCAGTTCAGGTCAAAAACATTTAAAAAATATCACTGCTCGTTGGCGATTCACCTGGCCACCGAGATCTCTGCTGGAAGTGTCCACGGCCTTGACGGCTGCTTCCGTGCCTGCTCTCGCAACACCCATTCACAGCCCATGGACGGGGGGTATTTGACACTCAGCTCTTACTGTCTTAGAAATAGATTTCATAAGACTATAGGCTGCCACAAGCAGTGATTCTGCTAATGGATCTGGTTTCAGTTGAATTGAAAACGTTTGGAAAGGATTTACCATTCTATCAACATTCACAGGAATTTGGAAGAAATGGATTCCAACCCTCATGGATGACTTTGAGGGGTTCAAGATGTCAGGGGAGGAAGTCACTGCAGATGTGGTGGGAACAGCAAGAGAACTAGAATTAGAATGGAGCTTGCAGGGATGAAGAGTCGCTTCTTATGCATAAACAAAGGAAGTGTTTCCTGGAGATGGACTCCACTCCTGGTGAGGATGCTGTGAGCATTGAAATGACAACAAAACCAAGGATTCAGAATATCACATAAACGGTGTTGATAAGGCAGCAGCAGGATTTGAGAGGATTAACTCCAATTTTGAAAGAAGTTCTACTGTGGGTGAAATGCTATGAAATGGCATTGCATGCTGCAAAGAAACCTTCACGAAAGGAAGTTAATCTACCCAGCAAACTTCATTGTTGCCTTCATTTAAGAAATGGCCAGTCACCCCACCTGCAACCACCCCCTGATCAGTCTACAACCCTCAACATCGAGGTAAGGCCCTCCACCGGCAATAAGAATAGGACTTGCTGAAGGCTCAGGTGATGGATAGCATGTTTTAGCAATAAAATATTTTTAATTAAGGTATGTACTTTTTTTTTTTTTAAACATAATGTGATTGCATGCTTAGACCACAGTGTAGTAAAAACATAACTTTTATATGGAAACCAAAAAATCTGTGTGACACTTTATAACGATAGTCACATTAATGCAGGTCTGGCACCAAACCCTCAATATGGCCAAAGTGTCCCCACTTGTGGGTTCCCGTCCCGCCTCCCTCCAGGGGCCCAGGAAAAAAAAAACAGAACTCAAATGTGAGAGACTGGCGTTTGGATGGTTCCCTCCATATTGCAAATACTTAGCTGCATCTTTGCTTTATATAATTTATCATTCAACATAGATGGATGCTTTTTCAGAATAATCCTGAGTACATTTCCATTTTATCTTCTTGCTTTTAAAATGAAACTTAAGGGCCTCCCTGGTGGCGCAGCGGTTGAGCGCTGGGTTGCGAAGCTGCCCGCAGCCTCTGCAGAGCCGGTTTGATCCCCGGCTGCTCCCCGGCCTCCGGAGGAGGGTCCCACAAGGCACGCAGACCTCTCCTGCCGCCCCGCTGCTCCCCTCAGCAGTGTACCTCGGTCCTTCTGCCTGCTCTGCTCCCTGCTCTGGCTCTGGTGAATTCTCTCACCCTCCCGCGCTTCTGACTGTACCCAGTGCTTGTACAAATAAATAAATAAACAAATAAATAAAAATAAATCTTTAAAATAAAACTTAAGATTTTTCAGCTTCATTCTTTCCAGGTCAATTTTTAAATATATTTTTTGGACCTCCTCTGGGGGTCCATTCTATTGGTTTCCATGTTCACTGCCCCCTTCTGGTCTCTTCAGTAACCTTGGATGTGTGTATAGGCCATGGAAAGACCTCCCCAAGTTTTTTGGTTTCCATATAAAAGCTATGTTTTCACATGGAGATATGAAGGCCACAAAAGCAATAAGGAGCAGCCGCAGACCAGAGAGCCAGGTAAGACATGACCTGCCCCGGGGACAGTCACTGCCCAGGCTGAGTCCAAGTTTAAGAGACACTGGGTTTAGCAGCTCCCTTTCCCGTGGACCTTCTCAAAGAGCTCAATAAGCTCCCGGGGAGGAGGGTTTGTACACAGCGCTTCCAGGCTTATCCTCTGTGGTTCACAAACATCACAGAGAACCAGTGAACCCCAACATCACCAGACACACTGCACCAAGGGTCCAGCTGGAGAAACTGCCCATGGGAATGTGTGTGGCCACATAGCCTGGGCCCAGACACCCTGCATTACTGCAGCATGCTCCCCTGCCTTGCTCCAGAGCCGTTCCCAGGGGAGCCTTGCTGAAGGCTCACCTGGGCACCACTCAGCCTCCGGCACAGAGCCAGGAACCTGCAGAGCCTGTTGACTGACAGATACAAATGCCATCAAATGAGAATATTTCAAACCACTTATCCAAATTGGAAAGAAAGACAAATGATGCTTGTGTGGGGAAAGCAGGTACATGCTGGGTGTTCTCCACTCTTTGTTCCCTATTTCTGTGAAGAAGCTGCTAGACTTGGGCTGGGGGCTTTAGTCACACCAAAGAATGGCTATAACTTACACCCTGTCCACCCACAGGGCATAGCATAGCAGCAGCCATCACAGTGCACAGCAGCAGCTGTCTTGACCTCTCTCATCTAATCCTCACAGAATTCTTATGAGAGGAAATTGGGAGGTTTTGGTTTGTTTTTTTTTTTTAATTTTTGCGTGGAAGAGCTGGGATGTAGGCCAGAGGTGTGGGGGGTCAGAGGGATTCACCAAAGACAGAGTGGGGAGCAGAACAGGTAGATTTTACTGAAATACACTGCTGAGGGGAGCAGTGGGCGAGACAGGAGAGGTCTGCTGTGCCATGTGGGTAGCTGCCTGGCTGGGGATCAAACTCAGGCAGTGGCAGTGATAGTGCTGAGACTTAACCCCTAGGCCACCAGGGAAATCCTGAGAAGAAATTTTTATCTCCACTGAATAATTTTGAAACTGAGGCTCAGAGAGGAGAGGTCTCTGCTTGGGTCTCTGCTTGGGCCTGCTAACTCCAGAGCCCATCGCCTACCTGTCTACCTGGCAGAGATGGGAAAAGATTGTGTTCAGGGAAGCCCTAAGCACTCTGGAGGCAGTGAGGCCCTGATGTTTGGAGGCAGCCTGTTTCTGGAGATGTCACTGCCCCAGTTCCGAGCCCTGGAGTCTGTGAAGGGTCAGGCTGTAGAACCCAGCAGCTGCAGGGCGGAAGGGACTAACCCAGAGAACTCCCTTGAGGCCCAAATCCCTTTCCAGAGCCCGAGTTCTATTCAGCATATTCATATCTGGCTCTTCTCCCTATAACCCAGTCACCTGCCCGAATTCTCTGGAGGGACCCAGGTGTCCGTACGCTCATCCCAGCTTTGCTGGCCAGCCCTCCTGACCTGGATGGGGTGAGGGCTTTAAAACAGACAGGTGGTGTGACCTGAATTGCAGTTAGCTCCAGAACCATCTGAGGAATAGAACCATTGTACTTTTTTGAGCCTCTTAGATGAAAATGGTAACAAAATTATTGAAAACGGTAACAAATCCATCTTCACTTTTTAAATTTGTGTGTATTAAGTCACTATTTGTACCTACTATATGTCAAACATACTTTTTAAATCTGAATGCAACACAGTGAAGAATGAATTGTCCTTACTTTACAGATGAGGACATGGAAGCTCAGAGAGGTTAGTAAACTGCCCAAGGTCACACAGCATGAAAAGCCCAAATCTAGTACATTTGACCCACTCCCAAGTCTAGGCCTTTAACCTATTGTACAAAACTATGAGCATTCCAATTATTATGTATATCCTGCCACCCCAGGGGCGATCATATATTATAAAAATACAATAATGTTGGAATCAGGAGAGGACAGCATCATGGGGGATGTGGAAAGATCCAGCCATCCTGAATCTGACTCCCTATGGCACCTCAAATGACCTATGTGGACTTAAGCACATCTCTCTTCTCCCCGGAGCCTTTCTTCTTCCTCTATGAAGTAAGAATAAGAATTCTTACAACAGGCTTATTAAGATAATTAAATAAGATGTTAAATTCCTGGAACACAGTAGTTGCTCAATAAATATTACACATTCAACAAGTATTTATTGTGCACCCACTATGTGTCAACAAGGGCCCCTGGAGAACAACTTGATACTGTGTCCTGCCAGAACCACATCCCAGAACCACCTTTCGAAAGAATCATCAAAATAATCAGAACTCACGGGAAAAGACTCTTTCTTTGAATTTTCACATGATGGGTTGGGTTGTAATAACCAGGTCCCGGGCCTGTTGATGTCAGTTTTGATCCACGGTCAGTTTTTGACTTAAAACAAGACATTAATATCTTTGGTGACTTCTTCACAAGGGAGTCATTGATGTTATAGTGCCCTAGGCAAAAAGAAATTTTTAAAATGGAATAAGGAACTTATCTCAAAAAATTACAAAGCAGTACCTTACACCTAAGAATATACTTAATGACTACACAGTGATGGTCCAAGATGGTCAGAGAGAAGGGCTGCCTGAAATAACTCCAAACACTAATTACCATGTAGGGCACACCCGCTGTGGGCATCACATACTAAGCTACACAATCCCTATGGCAACTCAGCAAGATGGCTGTGACTCTCTCCACTGTAAACACAGGAGAATGAGATTCACAGATAGTAAACAATTTGCCAAAACATTTTCATCTAGCCAGGGACTAACCTGCCTTCCTTCTCTTCAAAGATTATTCATTAGTCCAACAATTGGGTGGTTATGACAGTTGAATAACATTTTGATTCCTGGTTCATGGTAGTTGTTTAGTAAATAGACAATCAATAAATATTATTGAGCACTTACTATGTAGACCCAGGATCACCAGTCTCCAAAGCCTGGGCTTTCCCACCAAGCCCTGTCTCAAAAAATTAACAGTCCTGGTGATGATACATACAACTGCTTTGAAAGTGAAGGTGAGTAGAAAAAGTAAAATACAGCTTACAAGCCTATGCATGCTATAATGACATCTTTGTACAGATGGATATTGCTGAATAAAAGAGTATAAACTGGTGGCAGTTATATTGTGGGTAAGAAAGATATTTCATATTTTCTAAACATTGGAAAGTTTATTTTGTTTCAAATAAAATTTATTTTTCCAATGCAAAAGTGCTAAAAACAACAATGTGGAAAGTATCAGCAGTGTGATATTGAAAGGATCAATCCAGTGAAGGCAAAGGTGAGGGGAAACAGTTGCATCGTAGAAGCAGGAAGGTAAACTATCCCTGTGCTGAAGGCAATCTGGTCACAAATATCAAAAGCCTGAAATATTTTATATACTTTTAGCAATTTCCCTTTAAGCAAGTACAATAAGGAAATAATCTTGACTGTATGCACTACAAGCAAGTTAACTGTAATTCTTTGTATTAACAACCACTTTAAAACAACCTAAATTTCCAGGAAGAAGGCAGACTTTTTTTCCTTAACTTACAGAACTGCCATGCAATGGAATACTATACATCCATTAAAAAGGATTGCTCCAAAGATTTCTAATAACATGAAATGATGTTCCTAATACATGCTCGGGTTTCCAAAAAAAAAAAAACCAAACTGATGTTTAGTAAACAGCATTTATAGTATTGATCTCTATCATATTATTTTTCCCTTTCATATATATTTATATGTATATGTATTTATATTTATGTATATTTATATATATTCCCCCCACCCCCACCAAGGAAAACATTATAGCGATTCTTGATTATAAAATGCTGACAGGCAGAAACAGCGCAGAGAGAACTGAGGCTAAATTTCTGGTGAACTGACTTCCAGGCTTTTCCTGAATATAATTGTTCTGTTTCATGGTGTCAAGCAGTGTGGATTTAATTCTGTAACCCACATTTTCAAGTGAGACTTTAACAAGGGTGCTTCCCTATGTTCTATTTTTCTTTTTAAGGAAAAAGTAGAGCAGACAACATTGGTGATGTGCTTGCTAAGGCTAAACTCTGAAAATCCAACCAGCAAATGTGCGAAGCTCAGAATTGAAGGTAGGCAGGACCCCACCCTCAGCCTCAGTGGCACAGCAGGGGTGCCAATCACAGCTCCACATCTGTTTTCCTGGGGGTGAGTGAGCAAAAAAGCAGGGTTATTTCTGAGAGGTCCAAGCAGATTATTTCTTGCAGAGAAGCAGATTCTCTAGGCTTTGACCCCTGGCAATCTGAGGGATGGGGAGTGAAGGGGAGCATGGGGAAGGCTGAAGGCTTGGAGTCTGATGGGTTTAAATTCAAATCCAGCTGAGGCCCCCTGGGGGAGTCACCTGCTTTCTATGTATTGTCCTTTTTCACCTGTACTGTGGGGATAAAATAATAGCATACTTTCTGAGCACATGGTTGTATTCTATGGGGTTTTGAAAGCATTCAGTGAGATAAGAATAGAAAATCGATGGCACACAGTAGGAGCTTAACTAATACTAGCTTCTCCCTTCTGCTCTGTGTAACAAGGAGCTGGGGTCCCTCGGGAGGGCATGAGTGCAAGTATTGGGCTTGAGGTGCCCACAGCCCACGGCACCCTGGCGGGGCCTCTGGCCAAACCTCAGGGATCCCAGCTTTGTTCTCCTGTATAAACAAACAAGTGGGGTTTTGACCAGGGATGATGCAAGGCAGGGGAGCTTCAGTGGGGCTTAGCCTCCTAATTAGGGCTGGTTTTGTTATTCAGCTTCAGACTGATCTTCTCAACTTTAATCTGGATTTGCTGAAATGTGACATGCGCAGCAATTTAATCCACACCCCCATCTAAGAGGCGTGATCACAGAAGCAAACCCGCCCTGCTCCTCCTCTGAGCTCTGGGGGCCACAGCTTCCTGGGGGTCTTCAGGACCCCCGTGGGCAGGTCCACTGTAATGTACAAGGAGTGCTGTGGAGCACAAAGCCTCTCCAGCCCTCTCCAGACTCTTTTCCCTGCAGGGGTCGGGAGGAGGTCTGGGGCATGTCTCCAGCCCAGCAGGCAGGCTCCTGGAGGTTTCAGAAGGTACCATGTGACAAAGGGGGTGACAGCGCCCTCAGCAGACACCTGGGCGGCAGGTCTGCCAGTGACTAGCCGTGTGATGCTAATCAAGTCCCTGGGACTCTCTGAGTCTCCATTTCCTCATCTGAAGGACACATTGAGTGTGACCCTCGGGGGACATGTGTCCTCTATCAGGTGTCTGGATGGGGACTCAGCTGCAGGCAGTGGGGGCAGGAATACTGCAGCTGAGTGCAGAAGGATCCCCAAAGCCTAAGGCCCCAATGAGACTCAGTCTGAAGGATGGGGTGCCCTGCAGATCCCGTGGGTGCTCTGCCGCCCAGTCCGTCATTGGTGCTGGCGGCCACTTACCTGGTGGAGGTCCTGTGTCAGTAAGAATGAAAGGTCCCCTCTGGGTCTTTGATATGAACCCTGCTCGGGCACAGACATTGTTACTCTGTTTGCAGCAAGAGTCAGAGGCCTGGGGGAGAAAATAAGCAGGTGGGGGCTGTGCCTTCCTTTCTTTGTCACTGTGTCCACACAAGGAACACATTTACATAAAAAAATCAAATTCAAACCTGTCCTCAGAAAATGAACTGACACTAAAATCGGAGGAATTCATACCTCCTATGCCCTCACCCCAGCTAGTGAGTTTGCAATATGCTGGGGATCCCACGCAGTGGAGAGAACAGTGTCCCCCAAAAGACCCAGGGGTGTGTGATCCCACATGTGTTGCTTGCTCTTCTGAATTTGAATTTTCTCCTCCGTGAGAGCCTGATGTGGTGTTGGGGGTAGGGACGGGGGCCTGGCAACACAAGAATTGCCTCTAGGAAGGTATGGGATGTTATATGTGCACATTATTTTTTTCCTACAATTTTTATTCCTCTCAGGATGCAGCCTACATAGTTCCACTTGGATTTCTAGCGGTTGAAAATCCTCCTGTAACCTCAGGATTTGGAGATAGAAAAAAAAATCATGTAATTTAAGATCACGATTAGATTTATAAGCACACTCTTGTCTCAAATTGTCTGGACTGACCAGAAATTAAGAATTTTGGTTAATCCAAAAAACATGCACTTGAGAGTGTCAGTACGCGGAGAACTCTAAAAATAATATAAGAAGAAAAAAAAAACCCCTGAGATCATTCTTATGTGACACATGAATCATAAATATTTTAAATGTCAATTTGCAGTCTCCTGTATTTTAGATAAAAGATGCAATAAAAATTGTGCCAGTGATCGCTGGGAATATTTACTGAATGGGTGAAACTATTTGCTGGGGCCAAGATGATCTGGTTTTCTGTGATACTCCTTTGTCAAAAAAAATGTTCCTGAAGAAATGCAGAAGGCATTTTGATTCTGTGTTTACAAAGGCAGAGGAATTTAGCTTTTACCAGGGTCCTCGGGCCAGACTGCTGCAGAGAAGGCAAACAAAAGATCAGGTGGAGCGGGCTAATTACTGCGTGGAGGGAGAGGAAGTAATAACCCGGTAGCAAGGAAAAGGATTCCAGCAGAGCAGCGGAGGACCTTGGCTAGCAAAGGCACACAAAGACCCTGACAGACCTCAATGCAGAGTGGCTAACAGGATTATCTCGCTCCTACCCCTCTCCCTTTGATTCGACCATTGTTCTCCAGCTCTGAAAACAGCCTTCTGTAGACAAAACAGTACTTCAGCTTTATTCCTCGCCCAGACAGAAGGCGACTGAAAAAAGGAGCATTTTTTGTCTATGCTGAGTGTGTGGAGGTTTCACCAGTAGATTCTCGAGACAGTCAGCACCATGGGCCAGTTCAAAAAGAATGAAGCAGAGACCTCTCCTGTCTTGCCCACTACTCCCCTTAGCAGTGTGTTTCAATAAATCTGTATTTTCTGTTAAAAAAAAAAAAAAAAAAAGAATGAAGCAGATTGATGGTATGGGGGTGGGCAGGGAGAATCCAACATACAGAGTGGACAAGGCAAGTGTCTTGTGGACAGCGTGAGCCTCAAAACAGGAGGAGGAACTGAGGGAGGAAGGAAATATGAAAAGGAATTGCACATGGATTTGATGGTGGCTGGCTTTGGGGCACGTTGTAAGGCACTTTCACATTCTAGTTTGTGGGTTTCTGTAATGCTTGCTTTTGTGACGAGCATGTATTATTTTCAGAGTGACATTAAAACAACGATGAACAAAGGACATGCAACCTGAAATCCATCTCTTGACAGAAGGACTGGGTTCTGGCTTGAGAAATGGTCATTTCTAGATTAATAACCATATGTGCCTGGGAAGTCTTTCCTATGACGTCACAGCACTTGTTACCTGCCTGCAGCATCTCGGGACCTCAGTTGGCTCTGAAGGTATGAAGCTGGGGAAGGAGCACACAGCGGGGTGGGGACACAGACACTTACCCTCTGCTATAGCCAGGGAGACAGAAGGGGCACCGGCACCAGATAGCCCCTGCCAGTGTCTCCTGAGTGGCCTGGTCCACTATCAGGGATGGCAAAGGCAGAGTGGCCAAGTGCCTCACTTGTACCAGGTCTCAATCTCTCTCCTATTAGGTAAACCTCCTAACTGGCTTTCTAGAATCTGCTGTCATTGCAGCTCATCCTCCAAACAGCAGCTGAAGGAACTTTTATTAAAAAGTGTATCTGATGAAATCACCCACAGGTCAAGAGCATACCAATACACAGGGAACAAACTGCCTCCTGGGACCCTTAGAGTCCAGATCCATGCCTATCTGTCTCCTCTGCGTTCAGGCCACTCTAGCTACCTTGTTGTAGTTCCCTCTGGGCTAAACTGTAAGTTGCCCCAGGACCTTTGCACTTGCTGTTCCCCCGACTCTTGCTCTATTTTCAATTCTTGGGTATCAGCCTTGGAGCCTTGATCGCTGGGAATATTTACTGAATGGGTGAAACTATTTGCTGGGGCCAAGATGATCGGATATTCTGTGATACTCCTTTGTCAAAAAAATGGACCCAATCTAAAGTACAGTGGAACTGCCACCCCTCACCCACCCACATAGTCTCTCAGGCTCCAAATGTTTGTCTCCTCAAAGTTGACCCTAGTTTGTAATTATTTTCTTTATCTGTGTACTAATTCTTGTCTGAGTTTCCCAGTGGAGTCTAAGCTGAATAACAGTCTGGCACAGAGGAGCCGCAGGGCCAGTGAAGGGAGCCCAGCAGGGTGGGAACACAGTGACTGACCATGCTCCAGCTTTATACTATAGCCTTCTGCCCACTGATGTGCAAGTGGCCCCTTCAAGCTGGGAACTTTGGGCAAGTCCCTTCACCTCTCTGAGCTTCAGCTTCTTCTGTAAATGGAGAATAAGATATTCGTGGACTCCAGTGAACATTAAATAAGGTGAATACATAACTCTTAGAACAGCACATAAACCATGAAAAATGCCTCTCCACCATCATGGTCATTACTATTATTTTCAGACTTGGATTACTCCCAAGGAAGACTAGAGCTGTGCTGTCAATTCAATAGCCACTAGCTACATGTGGCTATTAAGCTCTGGACACATGGGTGGTCCCATTTCAGACATGCTGCAAGTATAAAATATATACTACATTTCATAGACTTAGAATGATGAAAAGAATGTAAAGTATCGTACTCATTTTTATACTGAAAATATTTTTACTACACTGGGTCATACAGAATCTTATTAAAATTCATTTCACCTGTTCCTTTTCACTTTTAAAAATGGCCACTAGAAAAATTTAAGTAATATATGTGACTGTCATCATATTTCTGTTGGACAGTACTGGCTTAGCAGGTACTTATATTGCTTTGAGCAAATTCTAATTGATTGACTCAATCCCAGAAGGTGGCTAGGATTTTTGTAGTCAGAAAAATATTATTTCTGACTATTATAAAAGAAAGCAGAAATTAAAGATGAAGTATTTTAAGGCCAAACCATTTTTAAATGTGGCGTAACAATATTAATACCATACATACAATTCATGCCGTATGCATTTCAAAGTGCTTTCACATTCATTGTTTCATTTGCTTCTTATAATAACCCTGTAGGACAAGTATAATTAATTCCATTTCACCACTGAGGCTCAAAAGGTAATGTGACTCCCCCAGAGACAATTCATCTACATGTATGATGAACTCTCTGTGTGCCAGGTGCTGTACTAGGGATTCAGCATACATTATTTAACATTTGCATTAACACTAGGAAATAGACACATATCCCCATTTTACAGATCAATAAACTGAGTCCTCAAAGTTAAGGGACCTGCCCAAAGCCACACAGACAGAAAACAGCACAACTGAGATTTGAACTAAATCTTCCTGAACGCAGGTCCTACCTATTAATTATACTCATTTTACCCATTTTTACCTCAGTGACTAAAAAGTGATTGTAGTTGACAAGGCACTACTGTTAAAAGAAAAAAATATATTTTCTGCTATGGAAAGATAGTTTATTTTCCCTATAAGAACCTAAAATAAAAACAGTGTCTACAGATATGGTGGTAAAGAATACACTCATTTGTTAGAGATGAGAAAACTGTCCCAGGAAGGTTATATGATAGGCGTGCTTAAAATATTGATATTTTCCAGGGTAGCTGTCTTCCCATGGCTCCATACTAGCCTCCAGGTTGCCCACAGTTTTTTCTGGGTTCTGTAATTCTCTATAAGAGTTTTGCACAGTCTCGTGTATCCATCGGATAGTCAGAAAAATGCTAGCTGGTTTACCAGTTGCATTAAAATGCTATTTCCCAACGCTCCCTCCCCCGCAACCATTTCTTTTATTTTAATTCAACTACTGGCTCAATATATATTTAGTAAGCATATGTGATGTTCTTACATTATAATGGTTTGGTGCAGGAGTTTCAAATTTGAGACCTTTTGCAAAACTTGGCAACTGGAACATACTGGAACAGGAATTACTGAAGTCTCTCTTCGAAACCAGATGCGACGGGATAGTGTATGCATTGGCTGCAGGATATTTAGAAATGATGGTGTCTAATCGGGCACGCTGTGAAGGGAAAACCAAAGGAATCAGCATTGTCACATACTCTTGTGACTCTGAGGGGCAGGTGTTCAAAAAGATGATACCCAGTGCCAGGTCTACAAGCTTTTTATAAGAGATGAAACTCCAGCAGGTAACAATGATGATAAACTGACCTCAGACTTTGAGGACTTGCTCTGGGGAAAAGCAAGTTCAGACCTGTAATAACTTCTGTAAACTAACTCAAATTATTCATCTTGTGTTTGGAACTTGGCAAAAATAATTTTGCCATAAATGCATTCCACCCAATCCCATTTCAGGCTACTTGCACTTGACTCATCAGCTATTGGGTAATTTATATGATGGGAAACTTTAGACTGTTTTTCCTTCAATGTAGGCTTTTCTTCTGAGTAAAACCTCTTGCTTCTAAGGTTAAATAACCTGAATCACCTAAATAACAAGTTTGCTTCGAATGTCTTAAAGGTACAAAGCCCCACAGGACGTACTATCCACCCATGTCTCCTAACGCTGCTGAATTACTGATTTCATAAAACTCTACATCAATCTGTAGAGTTTTTGCTGTTTTAACCATCAATCCAACTCCTTGCAAGAAGCCATGGCAAACTATTTTCAGTTAAAAAAACAAAAGCAAACAGAATCAATATTTGCAAAATGATTTGGGACAAAAGCCATAGAAACTAGGCGATAACATCACTTTACCCTAGGATAGCATGGCAAGCATTGGCATCTGATAAAGCAAAAATATTCTTAATATTTTAGGGTGGTTAAAAGCTTGAGAACATTGTCATCCTTAGCTTGATAAGGGTCAATAATGACACAAGCACAGAAAGTGGGGGAGGTTATGGGAAGGCATTAGCTGCCCTCACCCCCACTTCACTCTGTGCTTGGGGGGTTCTCCACACCTGCTTGTGGAACACTAACGGCATATGAGTGCGCACCCCCAGAAGCAAGAGTGTTCTCTGGAGTCCCTGCTGTTTAGAGTCTCACCTGGGCTAAGGATAAATCGATTTTCCAGAAGTCAAGTCACCCCAGCCTGGTACTTGACCAACCTCCAATTTTTGCAAATGGGGAGTTAATGCCAAAGTTGGTTTGTTCCTTGAGTGTTCAACTCAAGATTATCCCCACCTTGATTATCCCCACCTTACAGGTGAGGAAACACAAGTTTCTGAGGAGTAATTGGTGGAACCAAACTACTCTGTGATGTGGATCAGAGATCCCATTCAAAAGAGGAATGGCCTACAGGGTAATAATAAGAGGTGTTTTCATTTACAAGATGAGCAGCTAATAAATGACTTGGGAGGTTTTTTTGTTCAAGAAGAATCACTGTTCTCTTCCGCCTGGGCACACCTTTGCAGTCTCTCTCTCTTCTCTCTCCCCTCCCTTCCCTCTCCTCTCCTCTTCTCTCTCTGTCTCTCTGCCTCTCTCTCTCTGTCTCTCAACTTCCGTAGAGGAAGCACGGCAAGCTCAAACCTTCCTCAGTGGTGCCATTTGTCTGTCCTGAGTCACACCCAGCAGAGCGGGCAAGCCCGTTTACTGCAGCACCATTTCTCAAAGTGTCTTCTAGTTCTCCAAGGTTGTCTTGGGGGTGGGACAGAAGCAGGCAGAGTTGTCGCCTCAAATAAATTAAAGAAGTCTCAAATGCCACGTTCCATGTGTAAGACTGCTAATACGCATTAGCATAGTCAATGCTCTGAGAAGTTCCACATTCAAGAAACCCTGTCTGGCTTTATTTAACCAGTCTTTCCCAGACTTACTCCATCACAAAATCTTTTTGGTCTAAATGCCTATTAACATACTTTTTCGGGGGAAATTCTTTAAAAAAAAAAAAAAAAAAACCCATCTGAGGCAACGTTCCAAAACATGGTAATGGAATTAGTCCCAGAGGGCAGCTCAAGTAACACACCCTCCCCACCCTTCCCCACCCTTGACTTTCTTTTAATGGCCAGACCTGTGGCCTCCAACCTGGCCACAAGCTGGCATTTTTGAACCCCATCCAGCACATGCGTGCTTTTCCTGAGCCACCCCTGGTGCCACGCAAATATAGAAAGAGCATGAACGTCTCCTGCCACATGCCACAATGAACTTCCTAGTCAGTCCTATGAATAATTCGGAGCAAAGATTTAGAATACATTAATGAAGCTCTTCATATTACTTGGACTTAGAGAGATGACAGGTTCTCTCAAGGGCTGGGTGTAGTTTTTCCAACAGTCACCAGGAAGTTTCTAAAATTTATAGATCCTCAGAGGTTTGATCAGCTGCACCCACACCACTTCTGGTCATGCCGGTGTCAGTGAAGCAGGCCTTGCTCTGATCGGGACTGTGTTTCATTCCCTCAAAGTCCTGGCATCTGGAAGTATAAGAGATGCTAACTGTGAAGGTCCTAAAGAGGGGTGGCAGTTTCCACCTCATATCCAGGTCAGGAAGCAACCAGGTGAGACGTGGGGGATGTCTCCAGGCAGGCCTCTGTCAACTCCTCACAGCCACTGCCCAAGAGCACAAGAACTTAAGTGCTTATAATCATAAATATGACTTCCCAGCCCCTCAAAGATGGGGAGACAGCCTGAGCAACATCACGTCTGCCTTCTTTTGGGCTTGGTCTGAATTTTTAAGAGAACCAAAAGGCTTGATGTGACTCTGTCACCCCCAGGCCTCCCCTCATGGCCGCTCCCCGCAGGCCACCCAACCTCATCACACGTAAAACCTCATGAGGAATTGATCGTGTGCTCTGATTCAGACCCTTTTGGCACCAGGCAGGGATGGGCAGTGCCACTCTTTGGCAAAGACGTTCTCAGAGAGAAAACCTAGGTGTTGTAGGAAGTATTGTTTGTGACTCAGGTGGTAACAATCATAATATTTACCATGTTTATAATGCTCTGCAGTTTCAAAGAGTATTTCACTCATTGCAACGTTAATTTCCCCAGCGCCTCCAGGGAGTCTCCACTTTTATGAGGCAACTAGGACACAGAGGGTGACGTGCTTGAGGTCACATCGAGAATCCGCAGCTGAGTCAGGATTAGGCCTTAAGTCTTGGCTCCGGTGCCGCCACATGGTGACACGGCATTTCTTTGCCAATTGCTTCTGAGCCTCTTTCCTTGCGAGGTTTAGGGCAGAAAAATAGGTAGAGGTGTGGTTGTTTTGTGAAATCACTGAGGGCATGTGCAACCTCCAATTTTTGCAAATGGGGAGTTAATGCCAAAGTTGGTTTGTTCCTTGAGTGTTCAACTCTGCCCAACTCAAAGAATTCCTGTATGTGACTGTATTCGGTGTGTCTTAAATGGTCCGTGTGTGTGAAATCTAAATCAATCCCACTGTCAGGTACCATCATACTTCTGCGCAACAGGTTATTATAACTTTAAAGGGACAAGATGGCACACGTGTTCTGTGAACCGAGTCCGGCTTTGCTTTCTTTTTCACTTTCCTGCCTCTGCTGGATTTTCCTCTGTTTGACTCTTTCCCCTCACTGAAGCTATTTTTCTTGCCAATTTATAAATATTCAAATAAAGACAATCCTTGCCCAAGTCTGGCCATTGGCACTTCCGACAGCTGCCTGACTGTGAGGGGTCACCTGGAGGTAAAGATCCACATCTTCCAAACAAGAGAAATGGAGAGGAGAGAAGATCACTAATTTCAGACCCACTGAAACTGGGCCCAACAGATTTCTCAGTGGTTTGAATAACCCTAATGTGAACTATCACATTAGGGTGAGAGCAGGAAGAGCAACCTCTTTTCCTGATAGGCTTAAAAGTCTCAGGAAAACATTGGCTCATCTACTCCATGATGATAAAATTGGTTTTGGACGATCAGGTTCTGAATATTCTCTGAGCTTCTTGTCCCGTTCTGGAGATGCGTAGTGGTAGAAAAAAAATTACATAAAGACCCAGGATTCCATTTACTGGCATGGAATTTGAGGAGGCGGTTACTTTCTTAATTGGAACCACAGGTCTTTGGAAGAGAAAGAACCAGATGTCCAGTACAAGGTTATGCAATGAAGGAAGTGAGTTACCGATCAGTTAATGCTCTTACTTAAGACAAGGGGTTCTTACCATAGAGGGGAAAGTGCATGTCCCTTTCTTAGACAGTGAGACACTGTTGGACACTGGAGATTGGTGGATGACATTGTAGAACCCAGGACCTGGGACATCATCCTGGAAGGGAAGAGAACGAGGCATCACCAATACATTAGATTCCATTGTGTTTTGCTGCCATGGACACTAAGCCTCAGTGTAACTCTCCAGGACAGATACCACCTCCAGTCTACCTGCACCACCTCCAGCCTGCCTGTACCACCTCCAATCTGCCTGCACCAACTCCAGCCTGCTTATATCACGTCCAATCTACCTGCACCACCTCCAGCCTGCCTATACCACCTCCAGTCTACCTGCACCACCTCCAGCCTGCCTGTACCACCTCCAGCCTGCCCAGTTACTATCTCAGTGACCAAGTGCAGAGGCTGGAATTCTAACCTGGGTCTGGGCCCCCCAAGTCCTTGCTCTTTCTATTCTGCCCTACTGCATTCCAGAAGAATGCTGTAATTTGTTATGTTTTCATGACTGTAGAGAAATGAGCATAAAATGGGCTGCTAAGTATGGCTGATGCGCCAGTCTATGCATATTTATGGGTTAAGCCGAACCCTCAGTGAGGGAAGGTGACCGATTTCACATTAACCGCACCCCACCTGACTCAGCTTCCTCCTCAGCCTTTCAGAAGAGAGATCAGGGAGTGTTTCTGTTTATAGAGCAAAATGAAACAAAAACAACCTTCATTCCAAACAAGACTATTTCTTACTCTCAGACAAAGCGAGGCCGACTCATGGGGCTCAGGTGCTAAATGATGCGGGTCTATGAGCATGAGCGAGGACTAAACAGAAGCCTGGGTTCTAAGCTCATTTCTGCTGTCACAGTTAATTGTGCTTTCATCTCATTTCCCATGCTATTTACTGGGGGGAAGTAAATGTTGACAGAGGTTGGCCAAGCAAGTGGCATGAAATGCTAAGGATGCGCCTGTCTCAAGAGCTTTCTGGGCAACTGCTGGTACCAGCAACTTTTCCTTTCTTTTCTTTTTTTAAAGATCTATTTATTTATGCATACATCAACTGGGGTACAGGCCAGTGATGCAGGGAGTGACAGGATTCACCACATACAGATTGGGGAGCCGGCAGATCTACTGAAATACACTGCTGAGGGGAGCAGGAGAGGTCCGCTGAGCCATGTGGGTCAGCTCCCTGACCGGGGATCAAACTTGTGCTGCAGTGACTGTCTGTAGCTTCATAGTGCTGACGCTCCACCCCTTGCACTACCAGAGGGCACTCCCCTGCCCCGTCCCCCTCCCAGCAGCTTTTCAAAGATAGTTTCAGCTAATTCTCCCAAAGGGGGAGACACTGAAGCATGTGGAGATCAATCTGCCCAAGGGCCCCCTTGCTATAAGAGCTAGTACCTGAGTTCAGAGCTAAGTTCATGGTGTCCACGAGCATTTTGCAGAGGGGCATATTGTCAGGCCCTTTTCAGGGACAGTGAGGCCCAGAGACACTGGAGCCATAACTAGTGAACGGTGAGGCCAGATATACCCCCAGCAGCCTGAGCTCTCTAGAGAGCATCCCCCAGGCCCCAGGCCCTTGCTGCCCTCACCATCCTTACGCCCTCCCTGGGGGCAGAAAGAAAGCTGAAGGCACATCAGGACATTCAAGGATGGCCTGAGCAGTGTGTGATTATGGTTTACTATAAGGAATGGAATCATCAAGGCTATGAATAGGTTCTTCTGAGCTGAGTTTTAAAAGCAGTGACTGCTTTGAGCCTTGTTCTGCAGCAGGTGGGGGTGGGTGCGCTGGCTCCCCATGTAGGTGATGATGATCTCCAGTGGGTCGAGGGGGCACTGACTGCAGGGAGAGTGAGGCAGGTGTGAGGGGTGCAGCAGAACCAGGTGCACCAGCACCTCAGGATGAGTTCAGAAAAGCCCTGGCCATGGGTGCAGGTTCAAGAGCCTCTGGGGAAACAAGTAAGAGGCATTTCTAGGGGGCTGATGGCAAGGCCAGGATATATTTACTGAGAGGTCCCTGTGAGCCAGGCACTGTTCTGAGTTCCTGACATGCACTAAGCCATGTCATTTTATTTATTTTTTAAAGGTTTATTTTATTTATTTATGTATACAATAACTGGGGTCTATGCCAGAGGTGCAAGGGGTGGGGGCGTGAGAGGATTCGCCAGAGACAGAGTGGGGAGCAGAACAGGCAGATCCACTGAAATACACTGCTGAGGGGAGCAGCGGGGGGGTCAGGAAAGGTCTACTACACCATGTGGGTAGCTCCCTGGCCAGGGATCGAACTCATGCCGCAGTGGCTGGTGATAGATAGCTTGATAATGCTGAGACTTTAACCCCTGTGCCATCAGGGAGGCCCTGTAATTCCCATTTTAAAGACAGCAGACAGGCCCTAAGCGATAAGGTCACATAACCGGTAAGAGTGAGAGCCAGAACTTGAACCCAGAAAAGTCATCCCTTACTACTAAACCAAAATATCTCTCTAAAGAGACTGTGTAAAACAGACCCCACTGAGTTATGAGTCGGGTATTGCGATCAACTAAGAAACCCTGTGCAAGTTACCTCTCTAGACCTCATTTTTAAATGGAAGATTGGTACCAAATACTCTGAGTGCCTTTAAGCTTCCAGATTGCCTAAATTGAGGGAAAGCTGAAGCAGGATATATAAGAGTGATTCTTCCAGGACAAGTATCTCTAGCCCTAGCTTATCACCACACTCTCAACACTACCATCAATTCCCAAGAACTTTCTGGACACTGATGTGTGTAAAGACACACACAGGCTGCCAGGCGAAATACAGACCTGCAAGTCTGCTCCATCTAACCCGGTCCCATTAAATCTGAATTTCAGAGAAATCACAAACAACTATTTGAGTATAGGTATATCCCACTCAATATTTGGGATATACTTACACTCTAATAGCTGTGCCTTGTTGTTGTTGTTTTCTTAATCACCCTGGGCCTCACTCCTGCCTCTGCCAACCTGCAAAGAGGCTGGGGGAGGGGGGCAGTGAGACCTGTGGTTTCAAACTGCGCTCCCCACTACCATGACTAACTCAGAGAAGGGGTCAGAACTGGCAGCGGCTGCTAACAGCAGCTCCCTTGCTCTTTACCTGCTCCACCCCGGTGACAGAAGCAGAAAGGGCCCCTCAGCCGGCCAGGCGCTTGGATGTCTCCGAAGCCCTTCTCCCTCCCTGGACAGATTCTGGGACTTGCTCCTCACAAAGCTGCCTCCCTCATTTCCTCTTTGCCCTCCACCTTCTCCCCAAAGCCCCCCACTCTATTTACTTGAGTCTGGTGTCAGTGTTCCCCCCAGTTGAAAAGGGAGGCAGTGAGGGCATTTCAAGCAAGAAAACATGGCTTTTTTTCTCAGGACGGAGGAGGAAGACAGAAACCAGAGGTTCCCGGGAGCCCTAAGGAGCACCCAGGAAAACCAGAGAGATGCTATTGAAGAGGTTGTTTCTTAGTCTCCCAGCTGGAGCGCAGGCATGGGCAGAGCAAAGGCAGCTGAGACAGTGTCCGCCTGAGCAGGTGAGATGGGGGATGAGACCTCTGTGCGTCGCTGGCCTGGCTGGCTTGGAAACATGGGCGCACAGAGAAGTCAGGCCTGCGTTTCAAAGTCCTCCTCAAAACCGGTGCCACGGGCCTCTTTCTCAGAGCTCGCCTCTCTCTTAGATCTGGGATCACATTAGCAGCCCTTGATGTCTCCCGAGTGGAATATGAGCAAAAATTCTATTTCCCCAGCACATACTGTTACCCTCTGGGGCCAGGGCCCAGGCTGAGGCCCGAGAACACAGGCTCAGCTCGTCACAGCTCTGAGTGTAGGTGATGGGTCGGGGCAGACCAGCACGACGGAGCAGGGGGGGTGAGATGGGTTCCTGCGAGGCTTGCCTTGGGGCTAATGTGCAGTCCACTTTTGAGGGGCTTGGGGTTGGGAAGGGACGACAGTGACAGCTGCCTGAGGAGTCCTGGGCGGGTGAAGATGAGACAGGCAACTGCGGAAAATCGTGTCCAGCAGAAAGCAGTTAAGGGCATGAGAAGGGCTGTGGGGCTCAGAGGAGGGGGTGCTCACTTCCACCCCGGGAAGGCCTGGGGACCAGGAGCTGCTGCCTGCGTTTGTCGCCACAACCTGACTACGCAAGTTCCCTGGCCTCTCCGTGTCACAGGTCTTTATCCGGAGAGTAGGGATAATGATGGGACTTAGCTTGCAGGGTTATTATGGGGATTAAGTGAGTTATTGCAGGCAAAGCCCTTCAAGGGGTGCCCAGCATGCCGTCAGTGCCAGCGACACATCCTGCAGACCCTTAGAAGGGGAGCTGTCGACTGACTCCAAAGTCTTCCAGAGCCCCCAGAGCAGGTTCAGGTACGCAGCAGGGGGCACACTTGGGGTAATTATCCCCTTGAACATCGTGGTTTCTGCAAATGGAACTTCCTTTCATTTAAATACCCTGACATATAAAATATTCCCAGTACAATGCCTTATCAAGTTAATAAGAGAGTGGTATTAATTTTGTGCGATTTCATCACAAATTAAAGACCAGCCTGCGTACCAGTGGCAGGCAGATGGGCTGTCAGGCTGGGCATGGCATGGACGTGTGGCTTTCCGTTGTGCCAGCTCACGCTTTCCAAGCCAGCAGGGGCCAACCAGGTCCAGGACCATAGACCAGAACCCTGGCAAGGGCCTACCTATTAAAACACCCTTATTTTTAAGAGGAGGAAACGGAGACCCAAAGGCAATGAACGAGTTCTGTAGTGTCACACAGCTTGGGGGACAGTGGCCACAATCGGGGTGAAATGGGGACACGGAAGGTGGGGGAGACAGCGTTCATCTGCTACTGGGCTGTGCTCTGTCCTGGGTCAGGCGTGTCTCGTCACGTCCCCGGAGTCACCAGCATGTCTGTAAATAATTGTAAAATGTTCATCTCTAGCAGCCAGAACTGCCAGTCCAGACAGTGCGTTCTGTGACAGGCCTCTGGAGCCCAGTAGTCAGCTTCTTACGAGCCAAGCCCTGAATCCCCCACAAAGTCAGACTGACAAGGGGTAGCAATTCTCTGTGAAGATGTGCTAAGTGGGTCACAGACCCAAGGTTAGAACACAACCAGGTTATGAGATCAGGCTCAGGGTGTGGACAACTCGTGTTTTAAGAAGGGAGGCGAGGCTGGAGTTTTTAAATGTTTTTAATTTGTATTGCCTCACTAAATTATTGGGTGATGTTAAGTAAGATCTTTAACTTCTCAATGCCCATCTCCCTCAGGAAAAAAATGAGAATAATAAGCATGAAATAACAATTCTTTCCAATTTTATAGCTTGAGGAAACCTCAAAAATGGTATAACCAACTGTTAAATTTCATCTGAGGGAACGGAAGCCCTGAATAGGGACGAAAGACCCACAGCTACGAACAAAGCAGGACACTGGGAGCCTGATTTACCTGTCCCGGGCCCTGTCCGCAAAATCCATACTTATTTACAATGCTCCCCACTACTTGGATGAACGTTTTCATGTCGTCAGAGCGATACCACCCATTTGAGAAGCGTGAGTCATATGGGCTGCCTATAGTGTTGGCTGGTGGCCACTTTGGTTCTTTCACCAGAAAAAAGTTCTGAAAAACAAGAGTTGACAGTGCTAACTTTAAAAGCCAGCCCATTCGGGTTCTGGAACTGGATCAGGCAGAATGGAACCCACACATGAGCTGACCTCCTGCTCCACCTTGGCTTGGTCAGTTTGGCCGAAGCCCTTCCAGGAACTCAGCGACTTTCACAGATGAGCTGTGTAGCTTTGTAGGCCACAAAGGGAGGCGTGGTGCAGTGTATGGAAGGAGCGTGAGGCTTTGGCGTGAGCTCCAGCTGGGTCTGAGGGCTAATTCTTGCAATGCTGAGTCAGCAAATATTTATATAGGGCCTCTTAAGCCCAAACCCTGTGCTGTAGGCCGTGGGTGGGTCATTTCACTTCCCTAAGCCTCGGTTTCCTCTTCTGTGGAATTAAGATAATAAGCCCTTCCCTTCAGCATTGTTCTGAGGATTAGATGGGGTCTAATAGTGATTTCACACACCGTAGAGGTCAGTCAGTGATGGCTGCTATTAATTTTATTGGCATCTGAGATGCCAATACCCTAGAGATGGACAATATGGTATCACTAAATTGACAAGTGAGAGATCAGACAGAAAAGAAACAGTTAAAATTAGAGAAAGAAGAGAGAAAACTCCTGAGCAAACAGCTTATTTATCATCGTTGGGGGCAAAACTACAAGTAATTAAAGAACAAGTTAGCATGAGTGCGTTTGCACGCCCACTGTCTGTCTTGTTTGTTTTCTTAGAAACCTAAAATGTCAGAGTGGAAGGAACCAAAGGTCAGCTTTCTTGTTTACCAAGGAGGAAACAGGAGGAGGGTCCAAGCACTTGCCTGGGACTCTTCACCCTCCGCACCTCACCTGCATCAGTGCATGGGGCTCCTCACGGCTCCCCACCACCCTTGCCAAACATTTTAGAATGCAGCAAAGGTGGCCGAGATAATAACTCCTCCAGAAGAACGTTATTCTGAAGGTCTTGGTGAAATGAATGAGGGCATGAAGATTTTAAAGATGCCTCTCAGGACATGCGTGAGTTGCTTCAGCCCCCTGCTGGTGGGAAGGGGAAGGACCGATCCCTGGACCTTTAGCTGGTGAAATCCCAAAAGTTAGGGTCACAGGTAGAACTTTGCAGATCAGAGAGGAAAAGAGACACAGGAATATTTGAAGAAGTATAGGTGAGGATGGGGGAAATATGAGGACAGTAATAACACATTGATAAAGGAGGTTTAAGGGGGGACTCATCACAAAGGTAATTTTTAATTTATTATACTTTTTTATTTTTCCTCTTAGGGCATTTGAAAAAAGGCTTGTTTATGTTATGAGTGCAGCTGGGGGCAGAAGAGAAAAGGGTTTTTAGCTTTTACAAGATACACCTGAGATTTTTGAATGTTTTATTTTCATAATAACTTTTAAAGTACATTTTTCCCTTAAATGTTTAGATTCAGTGTGGCACCGTAACTCTGGACATGGCTGTTTTACCCTGGAGCTTCAAAGCTCCCACCTATAATCCAGAGCAAGCTCTGGCTCCTGGGGCGACAGTGCCCTCTACTGGGTACAAGGGAAATTATACCAGGCAGAGAGTTCAGACTGAGAGAATCTCTAAGACAATCTTTACCTTTTTATAATAAAATCTCTTGGCTTGACTATTAAATCCTTTTTTTTCTGATCCTGGAATCTCCAAATTCTGACACTTAAAAGGAATGGAGGACTGTGTTGGATAGGCTGCAGTAAAACCTAAACAACAAAAGTTTAAATTAGCATGAAGAACTGACAGAGCTGTATTTTAAAATTTTAGTTTTTTTTAAAGATTTATTTATTTATGCATACAAAAACTGGGGTACAGGCCAGAGGTGGGGGGTGGGAGGATTCACAAGAGACAGAGTGGGGAGCAGAACAGTTGACTGAAATACACTGCTGAGGGGAGCAGCTGGCAAGGCAGGAGAGGTCTGCTGCGCCATGTGAGTAGCCCTTGGCCCCAGAACTCGTGCTGCAGTGGCTGCAGATAGCTTCGAAGATAGGCTGCATCTTAACCCCTTGTCCCATCAGGGAGACCCCTTAAAATTTTAGTTTAAATGGAATAGAAGAGAAACTTGCTTCTTGATGAGGAGATAAAATGGAAACCAGATTTTTAAACAAGTATTCTCCTTCTAGATAATGTATTGGTGGTTTTTTCCTCCTCCTCAGCTCTTAAATCAACGAGAGGATCACATTTCTAAAACATATTTTCCCAGGGAAGAGGAAAGGGAAGGTGTTCTAACCAAGCAGGGAGGGGACATAAAAATTATTCTGGAGCAGCCTGGAAAAGGAGGCAGGCACCAGGGCACAGAGCACAGCGCCATGAAGCTCCAGAGAGAGGGAGCCGCAGCTTGCTCTTACTTTGCTCACTTTTGTGCAAACCAAGTGTAAGTTCAGGTTTTGGCTTTGAGCAGACATGGGGCTAAAGAGAAGAAGGTTATCATTTATAGAAAATCAAGTTAAAATTGTATATGTCTGAGCTGTAATGTATAAATGATCTCTAGCCCCCTCCCCACACATGGGCGAATGTGCACAATTGTCAAGACTCCACAGCGGCGTCCATCGTACATCTGCACATGGGGTGATCACACACTCTGCTCTAGAATCTACTCCATTTTTCAATGCTTACTTGCTGACAGCTGCCCCACATCTGGGCAGCTGATGAGGTCAGATGCTCCCTCCTTTGGTGCTAGCGAGCAATGCAAACTGTGCCACCCCTGCCCTCACTCCAGCCCCAGCTCCTAATCACAATAAAAACTCAAGTCTATCTCCTTCCCCAGATGAGAAAGCGCACCCTGCTCTCCCCAGAAAAACTCATTCTGTGAGTAATAAACCCTTTCATTTCTCTTGATGTGTGGGTGGCATCATCCGTCTCAACATCCAAGCCACACTGGGGGTGGGAAGTCCATCCTAACTCAGTCACAATAATGAAATAAGAGGGAGAGAGCAATCTAGCCTAATTTTCCTGGGTTGAGGATGAAGCAAGTAAAAGAAGTGAAATGTAATTTTGGTTAGAAAACATTTGGAGATTTCAGTATATGGTATATTGATAATTTTCCTCCCTTTCCTGTCCCCCATTTAATTAGATGGATGGCTCTTGTAAAAATTGTTTTAAGGGAACTTAAAGAGCAAATCAGAAAGCAGAAGTAGACTCAAGGCTTCCTAGCTTGTTTCTAAATGCCTACATCTGGTGGAACGGAGAGTTCTACCAGAGGTGGTGAAGCAGCAGAGGTGGTGAAAAAGGGATCAGGGATGGGGGGGTGGTAATAGTTTTTAAAAAGGTAAAAGGCTAAGGATATTCTCCTTGGCTAAAGAGGAGGCTGACTTCTGGCTGTGGTGGAATGGGATTTATCAAAGCAATCTCTTGATGAGAACCACCCCAAAATTAGGATTTTAAAATACTCTGAATAATTAACTTTCATTTCCCACCAAAATGGAACTGGATTTGCTCTCCTAGATGGAAAAAAATGTTTAAAATGGACAAATTATATGAAACAATTATTTTCAAGACATTGGACAGGAAACGACAAAGGATAGGAATCCTTGGTGGCAGGAAACAAATGAGATCAGCAATAAGATTGCCCCTAGCTTCCTACCAAGAGAAATTTCCAGGCCACAGCACAGGAAGGAGGAATCCAGTGGAGGCCCACTTGTCTTCTTGAGTGGAGGAAATGGATCTGGGAGTCCAGAAAAGCCAAATGACTGTAATTCACAGAGCAGATAAAGAGAAGAGAGGGCCATTATGCAGTGAGAGCTCTGAACCCAAACTGGGTTTCCCAAGATAGGTTCCTGAGTTTTGATCAACACATGCATGTAAGAAAACTCCCCAAGGCTGGGGAAAGAATCACCTGGAAGAACTTGGGTAATCCCTGGATCTGTCACTGGGCAGGAAATAGCTCCATCCCTGTGAAAGACAACGTAGAGAATGCAGAATGCTTTTGCTTCAGACATGGGGCAAAATGTTGCTCTAGACTAAATGTTGCTCTGGTTCCAGTTAACAAAGCTTAAAAGCAAGACTTGAGAAGATCAAGCTGTTTCCAAGTAATTTAACTGCATCTCAGAACAAAGCACAAGAATTTATAGCACTGTAACAGGACTACAGCACCCAACAGGTAAAAGCATCTGGCATTCAATACAAAAATTAATAGGCACGCAAAGAAGGGGGAAACATGTAATTCATAATGTGGAAAAAATAAGTATTAAAAACCAACTCAGAAATTATGTAGATGATAGAAGTATAAAAACACTTAACCACTAGCTATTAATATCAGAAAAGGCAGATTTATGAACAAAAACATGATCTGCAATAAAGTCATTTCATAATGACAAAGGGGGCAAAATTCCTCAAGAGAAAATAATACTCCTAGAGGCTGATATGGCTAATAACAAGAAACTCAAAATATAGGAAGGAAAACCTGATCGAACTGCAAGAAGATATAGAACATCCACAATTGTGGTCAGATTACAAAAGCCCTCCCTCAATAATTTAAACAAGTAGATAGAAGACTGGTAAAGATAAGCAAGATTTGAACAGTATTATTACCTAACTTGACCTGTTTAATTTACAGCACACTCTACCTCTCAATTCCATACAACTTATCCTAGAAGATTAAAGTGGAAGATATTTTCTAAATCCTTCTGAGACCAGTATACTTGATACCAAAACCAGACAATATTATTACAAGGGCATCAGGCAGGGCAGACCAGATTCCCTTATAATCATCATCTCATTACAGATCATAACTCTCACCAACATCCATGCAGAAATTCTTTTTAAAGATCTGTAAATTGAATCCAACAATATATTAAAGAGATAATAATATATCACACCCAAGTGGGGTTTATCCCAGTAAAGCAAAGATAGGTTAAAATCAGAAAAGCTATGTAACTTACCATGCTGAAAACTGAAAAAGAAAAGCCATGTGATCCTCTCAACAGATAAGAGTGATAGCATGTGTACTCTTTCTGGTCTAGCTCCTTCAACATAATTATTCTGAGATTCATCCATGTTGTTCAAGTTTCAATACTTCTTTGCTCATTCTTGCCAAGTAGGTATAGAGATTGACAATTGTTTATATATTGCTGCTGGAAATTTGAATTGTAACCAGTTTGGGGGTATTTGGGGAGTCTTTGAATGCACAGTTTTCACTTCTATGGGTGTCACCTGCTTAGCTTTGTAATAAGTTATAACCTCTTCCAAAGCTGGTTTTTTTTTTTTTTTTTTCACATCTCCATTGTGAGTGTGTAAGAGCCCCCATTGCTTCATATCCCCATCAACAATAAGCATTTTTTTTTTTTAATTTCAGCCATTCCCTTAGATGTGTCACAGTATCTCACCGTGGTATTAATTTACATGTCCCTAATGATATTTTTTAAGATTTACTTTTATTTGTTTATGTATTTAAGAACTGGGGTGTAGGCCAGAGGTGCGGGGGTGGGGGTAGGTGAGAGGAGTCACCAGAGACAGAGTGGGGAGCAGAACAGGCAGATCTTCTGAAATACACTGCTGAGGGGAGCAGCAAATGAGACAGGAGAGGTCTGCTGTGCCATGTGGGTCAGCTCCCTGGCTTGGGATCAAACTCATGCCATATTGGCTGGCGATAGCTTGACAGTGCTGAGACTTAACCCCTGCACCACCAGGGAGGCCCTACACATCCCTGTGATTAATGATGAGGAGTAGCTCTTCATATGCTATTTCCCACCCATATTTCTTTTTCTAGGTAAAGTGTTTGGTAGCTAAATCATTTCATAAAATCTACTATCGCTTTATGATTTAAAAAAATCCTAGCAAACTAGAAATAGAAGCAAATTTCCTTAATCTGATAAAGGTATCTATGACAAAGGCCTATGGCAAACACGAAACTGAACAGTAAAATATTAAGTTTTCTACCAAGATAGAGAACAAAACTTGGATGATTGCTATCACAGTTCTATGCAACCTTGTACAGAAAGACATTTTAACCAGTACAAAAGTCATCAGAAAGGATGGAAATAAAGAGGCAATTGTTCACAGTTGACAAGGGTGTATATGAAGAAATTTCCAAAGATCTATGGACAATTTCATAGAAGTAATAATTGAATTTAGCAAGATGCATATACAAAAATCAGTTAGCTTTATTTCTATGTCAGCAAGAAACTAAAATGAAAATATTGCTATTTACAGCAGCATAAAAATCAAATGCCTACACTAGATATAAAGAAGATATGTAGAGTTTTCTATATGTAGAAAACTATGAAACATTGAGAAAATTTAAGAAGACTGAAATGAAAGAAAGGTTACACAGAAACTGAAGATATCATTAAAAATAATAATTGATTTCTAGAATCAACACAATCTAAATCAAATGATAATAGGGAATTTATTTAGGTCATTAATAAGCTGATTCTAAAATTTATATGAAAATACAATGGGGCCAAGAATTGCCAACATAAAGTACAAAGCGGAAGGACTTTTGCTACTAAATTTAGAAAATGTAAGTCAGAATCTAGGTGGGATGTTGCCCAACTCGTGAGTTGTTTGATAAAGCCAATTAGATCTCTAAATTTGTGAACTTTCTTTTTCTTAGTTTGGTAGTGGGTCCAAAACAACCTTTCAGCTGCAACTGGGGACAGGCAGAACCACAGCCTGGGGGGGTCCCACAACCTGGTGGGGTTTGCTTGCCTTCTCCCTAAGGCCAGGGGTAAGTTTTCTTTTGGTTGAATCTCAGTTTTTAGTTTCAAGCTCCCGAACTTTTCTGTCCAGGACTTAGTGGGTCATTCCCTAAGTTCCCAATTCGATGTTAAATGTCCCATCCCTTTCCCCCAGATTCTGCGTGAGAACTGTGGGTGGCAGCTGCAGTTCTTAGTTTGCTGGTACTGTTGAGGTGGGTGCACGTGAGCTAAAGGTTACTGCTTAAAGAAGATCTTGGAAATGAAAGAGTTTACCTAGCATTTTGAAACTAGCGTGGCTCTAAGAAAAACCAATAGTCCAGCTAAAAGAAATGGGATCCTTTATGTCTGAAGAGTTGAGCAACCTCTCACTTCTCTGCTTGTGATACTCCCTCGGGTATTTATTTACCTTATCCTTTCCTTCCCAAGCCCAAACCCAGGGCTCTCCCAAGGACGGCTGTTTCCTTCCTGCTTTTGTTGTTCTGTGTCCTCAGAGCTTTGCCTGGGGGCTCCAACGTAAGAGGAGAATCCATCTGTAGCTAAGGTCCATTGCCAGGTCATAGGGCATATGTCTTTCTTTAGGCTACCTTAGGGATTGATGTTAGAGCTCCTAAGAATAATATCTTTTTTTTTTTTTGTAGTATGATTATTTTATTTTTATTTTTTAAAGATTTGCTTATGGATACAAGAACTGGGGTATAGGCCAGAGGTGCAGGGTGAAAGAGGGTTCACCAGAGACAGAGTAGGGAGCACAATGGGCAGATCTACTGAAATACGTTGCTGAGGGGAGTAGCGGGTGAGACAGGAGAGGTCTGCCGTGCCTTGTGGGTTAGCATCCTGGCCTGGGATTGAACTCAGTTGCGGATAGCTTCATAGTGCTGATGCTTAACCCCTTGCACCACCAGGGAGGCCCCCATATCTTTTGTACCTTCTCTGGGAAAAACCCTCTTGGGTTCAAGGGGCCATTTAATAACATTAGAAATATTTATTCCAGCTATCAATAAAGTAGAAATCATTTGAAAACTGGGCTAATGAACATTCTTAAACTGTTAGGTCTTAGGTGATCTGTTTGTTTCTGTTTGTATGCTGTGTGTGTCATCCGTGTACGTTTTGTATGTATATGATGATTTTTACCTCCAGGTGCTATTTTCAGAAGTGAAATTTTGATTAGCTTAAGATTTAAGCACTTAAATAAATTAATTTTTAAAAAGCCCTTAAATTTTTTTAAAAAATGAAGTGAATTTTTTAAGTTAGGATAATTACTGATGAAAGAAAGTTAACATCTGATAAAATAGGGATGTTTTTTGATTTGATAGACATGCAAGTTTATTTTGGGTTTATTGATCAAATGCACTCATGTTATCTCCATTACAAAAGCTGTCAATAAGGAAAAAATAGCTTAAGATTTCAATAGATATAAATGGGACATAGTTTTTAGGTTAAACTCGTCAGCAATAATTGTGTTTATTGTCTTGAAAATAGTTTTGAAAGCTTTTTTTTTACTTCAGAAAAGAAAGTCATGGACTAGGGGAAGATATTTACTTTACCTATAGCCAACACATGGACTCATTTCTAGAATGGTTTAAAGAACTCCTATAAATAAGAAAATAAAAACCCAAGAGGAAAAAAAAATGGGCAAAGAATTAACAATCACTTCTCCAAAGAGAATATTCTAAAGATCAGACAACTTGTGAAAACATGTTCCATCTCAATGATCAGCGGGCTATGCTCTATTTCTTGGTCTAAGAAGTGATTTCATAGATGGCGTTTTCTTTGTGAACATTTACTGGCTGTGCAAACACGATTTGCACAATTTTCTCAATATATATTTGTCTCAACAAAAAAGTACTAAAGAGAAACAGTGCATAAAGTCAAAGGGTGGAAGGAAGAAAGAGAGGTTAGTCTCTGAGTTTGAGAGTAGCAGGATGGTAGGAACCCCCCGGTGAGGTGAAGTGAGTGAGGCTCTTGGAATGGGGTATCCAGCCTCAGCAATGATGCCCAAGCCTCAGAAACGGTCCAGGATCATCACCTACAACACTAACAAGACCAAAGGGAGTTTGTGGGCTGGGACAGTGGAAATCTCACTTTGTTGGATGGTTGATCAGTGTTCTGAGTCCTTCGCACCTCCCCCACCAGCTTCTCCTACCCCACTCATCACATTATCTTTTCATGCTGAGAAAGATCTAACACTTGAAACAAGGAGGATGTAGTATTTGTGCCAATAATGGCTGGAATTAAACTTTCCAATAACCCAGCAGAATGGAGGCTGTGTTAAGTTTTAGGAAATAAAGATTTATTTTTCACTCATCTAAATTTGCAGACTGACATTTTTACCAGGTACTTAAAATAACAAGTCTAGTTTTGTTTTTTTTTTTTTGTTGAACAGACTTCCTTCTCTTTCACTCCCCCGCCCCTATCCTTTTTTCTTAGAGCTCTTCCCAATCATATTAGAAGCAGCGAGGAACCACCAAAGCAATTTATCTGATAGGCTTTAGGGATGACTTTGCGGGTATAACAGAAGATTTACTCTCTCCCCCTAAAATTTACTCTTATGTACTAAAATAAACATAAGTCACATGCTCGCTCCTCCCTCCAAAGACATGCTATTAAATTCACTAGACCTTTCTGTATCTTGCTGACATGTCTGGAATGTTTCTTGCCAGGGTGTTGGTCTTTCTGTGCAGAGTTGTTTATCTTGCGAAGTTCTGTGATATGTTTCATTTGTTTGATGAAAAACTCTACTACATGTTCTTCTAGGCACCTGAAACAGAAAAACACAGCATTTGTAAAAATTATGCACATTTTTGTTAATTGTATTAATTGGGTTCTGTTCTTTCTGCAGGATAAATAAGAAATTTTAGAAGTAGAGGCTGAGATTTACCAAGCTCTTTAACCCCAAGTCCCATGTCCATTTGTAACAGGGTGGTCCCCAGGAAAGGGGGAGGTTCCCTGCCCCACCCAAGGGAGGGTGGAGCTGAGCAGGAATAGGAGAAGCTGAAGAAGAGACTGAGGAAGGAAGAAGGATGGAGCCAGGAGACCTGGAGGAGGCGCGTGGAGCCTAGAGACACGTGAAGAAACTGCGCTTGTCTTTTGGTCGTGGACTGGGTGACACAGATGTGGGTGAGACCCGTGGGGAGGTGACCATGGCAGCTTTTATCTTGATGTTGATTTTGCTCTTTTCCTTCCGGGCTTGTCCGGTTGTTTGTGACCCTTTGCTGTGGGTCCCCACTGGAAGATGCTTTAGACTTTTAGCAGGCTTTGGGGCCTTGTTCTGGGCCGATCCCATATGGATGGACTTTTACCCACGAGGGGATGGGTAACTTTGGGTGCTTCATTTAGAAACTAGACTCTTTGCCTTACCTGTATTGTTTCCTAGTTTAATTAAAGTTCCTTCCCATTAAAGTCACCTATGTTTTGTGTTGATGCGGCGGATGGCAGAACCCATTTAGAATAGGCAGGTTTGCGGGGCTTGGGCTACCCCTTTCCCTGTCCTATAACAGATTTGGCGTCCAACGTGATTTAGGACAGAGCCATCCGTGGTTAGTCAGCCCCATGGGGAAATTGGGCTTCCCTATGGCACTGGCTACCATAAGCGCAAATGTGATTTTTGGTTTCTCCGGTGTGTTTGTTTCATATGTCGATTTGCTGTTGAAAAACTGGCTTGGGCTTTGTGAAGATCTGTGTGTCTGTATGTAATTTGTTTGTAGTGACTTGCTAAGACATTTGGTTTTGTGGAAATTGTTCTGTGCCAGTTTTACTCAAAAGATTAGGCAGTACATTGGACCATGTGGCCAGATCAAAGATGGCGTCTGAGGCCACTTGGAACTTTTTTTCTTTCTTTTTGTAATCTCTGCTGTCTCATTAGCATTTCTAAAGGCAATAATGGTTCTTCAGTGGTATGTTGCTTTGTCTTTGGCTACTTCCTGCTCTCTGCCTGATGGATTTTGCAAGCCAATTGTGGAGCAGAGGTGTTTTAATTAGCAAATGTATGCCTGGGTGTTAAGGAAAGAGTAGCCTTAAGCAGTAACTGGTAATCGCTGGTATCCTTGATGGATTCTTGGAGATAACTTGAATTTTTGCAAAGTCTGGATCAGAAAAATTAACAAGATTTTGTCTGAGTCTGATAGGATTTGCTGCTGTGAATTTTGTCTACACAATTTGTTTTGGGCATGTTTGCCATTTTGAATCCTGAATTTGTTCAATTGCTGGTGTAAGACAAGATTCTAAGTTTCTGCTTCCTACTGAGGAAGGTCTGTTATGGAAAGCACTCTTTAGGGTGCATCATGTAACTATACCAGGTTTTCATACCTGTGTTGTTGTTGTCCCTCCCTAGTGTGGGGGAGGTGTAATCTGTGCTTAGATGTTTAATCTGCTCTTTCAGCTTCTATCCCAGAGTGGCTAACAGAAGTAAGGAGATGACTCCTTTTAATTGAAAGTTAATTACTGATATTTTGCTTTTGCTTTTTCAGGTTCTATTCCAGGAAACCCAAGGATTGCCTGCTTGGTGGCTAACAAGAGATGACTCCTTTTGCTTGAAAGTTAACTGTTACTTTTATTCTTTCAGTTGCTGTACAGAATACCCCAGGATTGACTTCTAATAAAAAGTCTTCAACACTGAAAACCCTAAGGTGATAAACAAGGTCATGTAACTCTTGTGATTAATAAAACTTTTCCTTCCTATTTCCAAAGTCTTAGGTTTGCAGGATGACAACTGGAAATTTTTCTGCCAGCAACACTCCACATTTTTTTTGGACTTTGATATTTTTTTTCTGAGCCTATGAAGTAAAACTGCAGTTACATAACATATTCTACGTGGCATAACTAAAAAAAAACTGTCTTTGTCTATACGTTGTATGTCTGTATGTCCTTGTGTCTAACTGTCTTGACCTCCAGTGATCGACAAATTGGTATACATGGTGCCCATAGACGTTGAAAAAAAAAAAAAAAGTCTCCGGTTATGAGAAAAACAAAAAGTTATGGTTTGATTGTCAACATTGTGCTACTGAACTAAGCCGGTGCCTTCATAGAGATTGAATATTGTTGTTTCTGTTAATTTTCTGATATTTATGGCAAAGCTTCCCAAAAATCTAAATTCAAGTACAAATTTGGTAGCCTGTCATTTTACTGATGCAAGGAAATTTTGTGGAACCTCAGTAGAGCTCCTGAGACACTCCACAAAGTTTCTCCCTTTCCTCCTGGAAAGGCATTAGATGAATTTGTTCTGTTTGGCTTTTACCTAATGAAGTAAAACTGGAAGGGAAGCATTGTCACTTGGGAAAATGGTAAAAACTTTGGTATGTACAATATGTTAACAGTAGTATCGGGTATGTATGTAAATTGTCAGCGGTGATTGTCACCTTGTAATATTGTATAATTCAATTGTTTCACATCTACAGAAATTGTTTCTGGAAATATAGGGAGAAAAGGTCTCAACAGATTCCTATTGATGGAACTGTTGAGAGTAAAACTTTCTTACAAAGGACTCAATAGACCTGGAAATACACCTGACATTTACTAAGGTTTCTTTGACATAATATTGAAAATTTTTTTATGCATTCTGTCCTGAATCCAGGAAGTTTTTGTTTTGTTTTGTTTTGAGTAACAAGGATCTGCAGCAAGGTTGTAATTTTTTTCCAGCAAAGCTAACTTGTCACATTTTCTCTCCCCTTGATACCAACACGGCATACAAATAGTGGTAGTAATTTTTGCTACTTATCTTAGAGTCTGTTTTTGCATAACTTCCATAGGGATTTTGTCTGTTTTAACAAAAAAATTGGACGTGAGTTTGATTGTGTGGCTTTGTGTGGAGTTCTTCCAGAAAGTTGAAAAAGAGCTGAACCAAGAAGAAGAGAACCTGTTTGCCTTGTTTGTAGGGTTCCAGAGACCTCCAAAGAAGGTGAGGAAGCTTGCCTCCATTGGCAGGACTGGACAACCCGGCCAACGAAAATGCCCTGGTACCCTCGAGAAGAGGAAAGCCCAGGTGGAGTCTGATGAGACCAACTTTATACCTGAAGCCTACATCGACTGGATGCCACTGGTTCGCTCTGATCCTGTGTGGAGTATTTCAACAAAGCCGGCTAAAAATTGCTGTTAGTTATTTTCTGCCCTGTGATTTTATGCAAAAATAGGAAAAATGGTTTAAAAGTAGATTTAGTTTGCAAACTTTTGCTATGCTGTTAAAGTTTGGAATCAAGGTTGAGAGAATTCGTTTTTGCATAAGTTGAACCATTTTAACATTTTTTCCCTGTGAATTTGATATATTTGTTATCTTGTTTTAGCCAATGCTCCAAATTTTTTTTTCTTTTGGCTGGTATAATGGACTATTTTTCAGAATGGAAAACTGTCATACTGGATATTCATAGACAATGCTGCTGACTAATTGTTGCTTCTCTTACACACATTGTAACCCTAAAAAAAAGACTGTCTCCTAAGACTACACCCTGAGATTTGTGCCACCATAGATATGGTGGAATAAAAATTAAAAGGGGGGATTGTAACAGGGTGGTCCCCAGGAAAGGGGGAGGTTCCCTGCCCCACCCAAGGGAGGGTGGAGCTGAGCAGGAATAGGAGAAGCTGAAGAAGAGACTGAGGAAGGAAGAAGGATGGAGCCAGGAGACCTGGAGGAGGCGCGTGGAGCCTAGAGACACGTGAAGAAACTGTGCTTGTCTTTTGGTCGTGGACTGGGTGACACAGATATGGGTGAGACCCGTGGGGAGGTGACCATGGCAGCTTTTATCTTGATGTTGATTTTGCTCTTTTCCTTCCGGGCTTGTCCGGTTGTTTGTGACCCTTTGCTGTGGGTCCCCACTGGAAGATGCTTTAGACTTTTAGCAGGCTTTGGGGCCTTGTTCTGGGCCGATCCCATATGGATGGACTTTTACCCACGAGGGGATGGGTAACTTTGGGTGCTTCATTTAGAAACTAGACTCTTTGCCTTACCTGTATTGTTTCCTAGTTTAATTAAAGTTCCTTCCCATTAAAGTCACCTATGTTTTGTGTTGATGCGGCGGATGGCAGAACCCATTTAGAATAGGCAGGTTTGCGGGGCTTGGGCTACCCCTCTCCTTGTCCTATAACACATTCTACTGCTTATAGTAGGAGCTCTGTAAATGTTTACTGTTAATGTTGCTTGACTTGAATTTTATAAGTTTATCTTTATTGAAGTAACTTACATACAATATCATTGAATTCCAAGTGTACGATTCTAAATTCTGGCAAATGTTTATAATTGTGTTAAATATCACAATTGGGGGCCTCCCTGGTGGCACAAGGGGTTATGTCTCAGCACTATGAAGCTATTGACTCTATGAGTTCGATCTCCAGCCAGCCAGGGAGCTAACCCACATGGCACAGCAGACCTCTGTTGTCTTGCCTGCTGCTCCCCTCAGCAGCAGTAGATATGAGTGTATTTCAGTAGATCTGCCTGTTCTGCTCCCCACTCTCTCTGGTGAATCCTCTCACCGACCCCTACCCCGCATTTCTGGCTTACACCCCAGTTCTTGTATGCAAAAATAAATAAATCTTTTTTTTTTTTAAAAAAGAAATCAACTATAAGAGGAAAAAATGGAAAATCCATAAATATATGGAGATTAAACAACATGATACTGAACAACCAGTGGATCACTAAAGTAGTCAAAATGTATCTGGAGATGAATGAGATGAATCAGCAGCCCAGAACTATATATGGGTAGCTGATTTATGAAAAAGGAGCCAAGAACATAAACTGGAGAAAGAAAAGTCTCTTCAATAAATGGTACTGTGAAAACTGGATGGACACATGCGAAGAATGAAACGAGACCGCTCTTACATCACACACTGAAAACAACTCAAGGTGTATTAAATACTTGAATATATGACTTGAAGCCATAATATACTCAGAAGAAAACATGGGTAAAAAGTTCTTTTACATCAGTCTTAGTAATGTCTTTGTTGACTGTCTCCAAAGCAACAAGAAAAGAATATAAACAAATGGGGCTACATCAAGCCAAAAAGCTTCTGCACAGTGAAAGAAACTATAGTTAAAATGAAAAAGGCAGCCTGCTGAGTGGTAGAAGATATTTGCAAACCACATATCAGACAAGGGGTTACTATCCAAAACATAAATAACTCAATAATGAGAAAAATAAATACAAGATGATAAAAAAAGTGGACAGAATTTTACCAAAGAAGATACACAGATAGCCAGCAGACACGTGGAAAGATGTTCTCTATTATTTAAGGAAATGCAAATCAAACCCACAAGATTTCACTTTATACCAGTTAGAATGACTGTTACCATAAGGTCAAGAAATAACAAATGTTGGTGAGGATGTGGAGAAAAAGGAACCCTCATCCCCTGTTGGTGAGAATGTAAAATGGTGCTGTTGCTACGGAAAACAGTAAGGAGGGCCCTCCGAATTTTAAAAATAAATCCACCATATGATCCAGTAATGCCGTTTCTGGGGATTTACCCAAAGAACATGAAAACACTAACTGAAAAAGACATAGGCATCCTGTGTTCACTGCAGCACTCACTGCTCAGGATAGCCAAGGTGTGGAAACAACCCAGTGCCGGATGGTGGATGAGTGAATTTAGATCTTTCCTGATAAAGGATTTATTTCTGGAGACACAGGCCAGATGGACTCCTGGAACATGGCCTGGTGATCAGGTAGAAGAGGGTCTTGCTGCTACACTTGTCACTGAGGGTCCTCAGCTCGCTATGTAGCTCTTGCTTAGGACCGAGGTGCAAGGTCTGGGACAGGCAGGGCTGGGCCTCCTGGCAGAACTGCTTGAACACAGACTTGCCTGCCCCATCTTACTTGAGTAGCCTTCATCCGATGTGGCATCTGCAGGCGCCATGGTCAGCTGCGAGCTGATGGCCTCCAAGCTTGAACTCCCCAACAGCATCATGTCCTTAGGGGCGGGGAGGCGGGTTCTGTGCTCTCAGGGACTGGTGCTGCCGGTGTGACTGGGCTCAATCTGGTAGGGGGGTGAGGAGGGTGCCAGCGAGAAGAGGGGGCAGATTCCCTGCACCACCATACTGGGTCTCCACTCCCCACGCACTGTACCAGGGAAGTTCCACAGTGAGGTCTGGGCTGCCATGACAACACGGCCTCACCCCCGCATGGTGCCGTGACCAACCTGCTCCCCAAAGCCACAGACTACCCTGAAAAGATTGTTTAAAACAACCTACAATCCCACCACCTAAAGACAACACCACTAATATGCTTCCCAGGTTGGTGACCATGAGGCCAGGGAGAGAGCAGGTGCTGCTCAGGTGTGAACAGCACAGGTGTGCTCAGGGTGCACTTGCGTGCACAACTGTTCATAACAAGAGGTCATGGCCTAAATCTAAAAGAGGCCAGTGAAGATATTCCACCTTCCTGTCCCAGTCCCATGTATATGTTTAAGCAATTCCCAGGTGAGGGTCAGGGCCGCCATCAAGAGTATTTAGGTCTGGGGTCAAGGCTATGCCCTAAGCTTAATAGCTATGATTCTGGATGAGTCACTCAACCTTTGAAACCCTTTTCCTCTTCCATAAACCAAGAGTGATAACAGTCCCTTCCTCTCAAAGATTAAATATGATGATCTACACAAAGCAGTTAATGTTGCCTGACCTAACGTAGGATTTTATTAACATTGGGTGTTAACACGGGCTCAGGGATAATATATTAACAGCTCAAAATAATGGCTGTTGTTTATTGAGCCCTTACAGCCCAAAATGCCTTGAGTAGACTATTTCATGCAATCTTTATCATAGTCCAGGGAGGTATAATCCCCCTTTTACAATGAGAAAACAGAAGTGTAAAGTTAAGGGTTAAGAGCTTTTTCTGCTGTTGGCAGAAATGGGTGCGTTCATGACACCTGGGAAGGTGGTGCTGGTCCTTACTCCAGATCCTCCTTCCCCCGGCCCCCTCCTCTCGCCCTAATTCCATCCCTTGCAATCAGTTCAGAACAAGTCTCCCTCCTCTTCCACATTGGTGATATTCAAAATACAAGTTGTCTGAGGCATACAGCAGGGCAGGGAAGAGCACAAGGGATCAAGGTGATGGATCCTGGGTGCTGTGGTCATGGAGAACTACAGGGGGCGCACTGGAGAGGAGAAATCAAATACTATCCCCAAATTAACAAAGATGTAAGAAAGTAAATACATAAAACATTTTTTTAAATGCAAGTCCTAGCCCATGGGGTTTTGCTTATTTTGCACGTGTGTGCTGGGTGACACTAGTAAATGTATTTTGTGCCATGGGTCACAGTGAAAAAGTTTCAAAGGCACTGCCTGTCCTTCAAGTATTGGAAGGCAGCTGTCATAGCCCCCACCTAAAGATTAATCTTCCTCAGCCTTGAATACCCCCGGAGAGCAGGGGTCCCTCCCCTCACTATATGGGACACCATCCTCTGGCCCAGTCACCAGATTCATCTGGGGCTCTGCTCAAACCTCCTTAGGATACCTTCCTTGGCCACTCACTATTGTTTATGATCTTCCCTAATAGAATGGTCATCACCGAACCCTCCACTGTTTCCTGGCACATAATAAATGTTCTCTAAATGTCTGTAGAATGAATGAATACTAGAGGTATACACATTTGAGCTCTTGTATATAGATATATAGATAGAGATATACAGCTCTTTCCTTCAGGAACTACTTCTGTAAGGTTTTATCCCTGTGACCACGACTAAGGTATGTTTTTCATTCTACCCTCCCTATCTTAAAAATCTTTGTTACAGTATTATCACATTTTATACATTTATACATGTATTATTGTATATACCATGTATACTGTTAAACTTATATGGAATTTTATGAGATTTTTATTTACACAAGTTTCTTATGAACTCAGTTAAAATGCTACCTTGCATCTGGGAAGGATTTTACATTTTTCAAAACACTCTCAGGTAAATGGGCCAGTTTATATTTCATAAGCTGAGAACGCCTATCAGAGGCCTGGGAGGAACTTGAGCAGCCGGCTAGTAACCATGAGATTCCAACCCCACCCTTTCGTTTCACAGACGAGTAAATTGAGGCCACAGAAGGCGGGCCTCCTTGCTGAGGGCCACCCAAGGAGCTTGAGTGGACCTGGGGTCGGAACTCCGTCATCCACCACTGCCCGCGCACCTGGGCCTCCAAACGTTTGCACAATCCCAGAAGCCAAGGCAGGAAGCCCCACGCCGGCGCCCCTCCGCGGAGCTCCAAGGGACGGCACGCGGGCATCACCAGCTCAGGTGAGACTATAGGACACACCTCCAGGGATCCCTGGGCCACTCACTCAGCACCCGAATTCCCCACGCACCTGGCAGAACGCGGGGTCTCCGAGGGTGTCCCATGGGGCTAGCACGGTCCTCCCTCCCAAGACTCACTTTCCCCCTTCCGCTGCCTCCTACCTCGTGGGGTCTCCCTGGGCTGAACCGGGTCCTCCTGCCTCCCCGTCGCTATAGCAACCACAAGACCTAACATTCTAGAGTCTCCCTTCTGTTCGGCTGAGTAATTTTAGCCAATGGTGTCCTTTGTTTCTTTCTTGTGAAAAGATGGTGACCAATCATTTAGAGGCTTTCAAAACCCACCGGGAACCTGCCAGAACGTTAGGATTCGGGTTAACTCTATCAGGACCGGTGAGAAAACTTACAGGTTAGCCCTCAAAAATCTTGCGACAGACCTTAGAATTTTGCTCACCCAGACATCCTACTTCAAGGCATAAACCTAAGGGAACTAACATTCTCCAAACCCTGTTTAGAATAGAAGAAGAAGAAGAAAAAACACCAGATTGTTAGGGGCAACCGGGCAAGATGACCCCCTCTTTACAAACTCCAGCGCAGTCACCGTGACTGGGCGCGCTGCTGCTGCGCCCCCTCCAACGCCTCCGCTTCCAATAAATTCCAAACACCTTATTAGAAGCTGGGGACCGTGGGGTCGCCCCTCCTGTCCCCCACCCCCCAGAAAAGCCTCGCGCCGGCCGCGCAGCCCGCGGGCAGCTCCTCCAAGAGGCCACCCTCGCGCTGCGCTGGCCCAGCCGCGGGGCCGAGCGCGCCCTGGCTCTGCTCCCGCAGTTGGCACCGCTCGGGCGTGACCTGGGCCGCGCGCCCTGGCTCTCGGGGTTGACAGCTCGGGGTGCCGCGAGGTTCTGCAATGAAGAGCGTGTAGATGGCGGGGCGCGGTCCGCGCACGTGTGCCCTGCGGACACCTGCGTCCCGCTCGCGGCGCCCCGGAGCACCTGGAGCCTCGCTGGACGCTGGGTGGCCGGTGCGCCCAACAGGTGTCACCGAGGCCAGGCAGGGATGTAACCCCGCGTGGCCAGGAAGGCGTCTGGAGGGGCCGGGTCTAGAAGGAGGTGTAGGGTGTGAATACACGGTGAGACCCTGGGCTGGGGGAGCAGCGGGAGCCCAGCCCAGGTGGGGGTGGCTGAGGATAAGAAATGAGGACCCTGGCAGGGGCCCATCCCTCGCACAGGTGGAGGTGATCGGTCGCCCGAGCGCTCCAGGACAGCCGAAGAGGGGGATGGGGGTGGCTCCTACGTCCTTCCTGTGGCCACTAGAGGGGACTCCCTCAGGTGTACGCGAAGCCCCGGCGGGGCGGCGGCTCCCCGAGTTTCTCCCCCTGCGCTTCAAGCAAGCTTTGCTGCGCAGCAAACCTGCCCGGGGGATGTCCCGCCCACCCCCTTCTCGCAGCCACTCTGTCGCTTCAGAGCCGCGCCAGCTTCTGACTGGCAGCAGGCCCCGGCCAATCACGTCGCGATGTTTGAAAGCAAAACACTGCAGCACCCTCTCGGGTCCGAGCTGGGCAGGAATTGCAGGAGGCTGTGCTGCCCGGCTGGCTGCCCGGAGAGCCAGGTCGTTTCTCAAAAACCTCTGAGAGGTGGGCCTTGGAGGAGACGCCGCTGGTAAGTAGTGATTAAGATGGGGCTCAGGGGTGGAGGACTTGAATTCTGGAAAAGCTGATGCGTTTGGAGTCAGCTGTGGTCCCCTGGTGTAAATGTCCTTTTCCATCTTGGCGTCACCAGCCTTGTCATTTAGGGTCTCGATACCTCGGACTGTTTTCTTGCATTTTTGCAAGGAGAGTGAGAAGAGAGCGGGCGTGGGTTTGCCTCAATAAAGGTGATGCCAGGCTTATCAAATCAGGAAGTGAAATGGAGTAAGTTTGCCATGATGTGTTTCTTTCCTCCTCGACTGGGCTTCCAGGCAATAGCAGATGGTGGATTAGCAGGTGGGATGGGGCGGAGAGGCAGCCTTCATCTGGCCTGGCTGCTGGAAGTTGTAGTTTCCAGCTCAATGGGAGGCAACTGAAGAGCTAACTCTTTAGTGTCCCAGAGCCTAGGAAAGAGAAAGCAGTTTGCCCGTAACTGGCACTCACCAGCCAGACACTGAATCGTCAGGTGGTGGAAAAGGGGTATGTGTGTTTGTTTTTTCAGTGAGAGCTAAATTCGAATAGCTGGCCCCTATCTCAACAGTCATGAGCTATGGTTCGCTTGTGTGTAAAACCTGCTCTGTGGGTTGGTAAAATAATTCATTGAGAAAAGGGGTGGAGGGCAGAGAGGAAGGAAGCAAATACCTCATGAATTATCTTCCCTAGAGCCCGTGACTCTGCTCTGTGGGGCAGCTGACAGTGCAGAGTTGCCTGCTTGCCTCTTGGGCATATGTTACTTGTCAGAAAGTGCTTTGAAGTCAGGCAAAGATTCATCAGCGCTCCCCTGCCCCCAGAATGTGTGCCTTATAAGGGAGGACAACTTGCAAAAAGTTTCTCCAAGTCTTTTAGTGCAAACTCCTAGCCGGCTAAGGGGGAAGCCTTCTATCTTTGCAGGCCATGCCTCAGAGGCCTGGGGGTTCCTGTGGTTGAGAGGAAGCAGCTTTTTAAAAGTGCATTAAATGACAGCAAAACCACCACCATAACAAAAACAAAGAGAGAACCCACCTCAATGAAAATGCCAGTTTAAATGAGGTTAGGAGGCCACGATTCCCATCATCCCTTTGGCATGTCCCCAAGGCCTATTTGCTTTCTCTGACATCCTGTGGGTGGGGCTGGGTAGAGCTGTTCAATCTCAGGGGTTGTCGCCTGAGTAAGCTATTCTGTTCTTGACTGTGAAGCAGCCACAGTGCACCAGGTGCTTAACATGCCTGCGTTCAGCCAGTAGTAGGTATTTATGGAGGTCATGATGCCAGGCTTGGGGCTGGATCTTGGGCAGGAGGCCCAATTATTATTTTTAATATAAGAAGCCCTTGAAGAAACCCTTAGCACCTGTGGTGTTTCACCTATGCCTCCCAGAACACAAAGGGCGTCCTTTCCCTGCTCTGTTTGGAAGGAGATTCAAGAGGCACTGAAAATATTGGTCCAATGAAGTTAACAGGAGTTGTTGTCATTGTTGTTTTACTCGAGGCTACATTATTATCCCCTCTTCCCGGATGAGTCCCCCAGAAACACATAATCTAGACACTTAGGTCTTCTACCTCGTTAGCAGGCCATCTCCATGGAGATAACTTTTCTTCTAAGCTAGAACCCCAATGGTTCCCATTTCTGCCTCAGTAGGGTTTTTTTTGGCTTTGCTTTGTTTTTTAGGTCTGGAGAAGTAGACATAGCAAGTATTCTACTTCTTATGTAGAGGAGTCTATGGAAAAGGTACAATTCATAATAGGATATGTGGAAGGAAAAAGATTTTTAAGGCCAGGCGGGAGGTTTAAGGTATATGAGCCATATCTTTATTAAGGGGGCCAGGATCATGTTATAATATTTTAAATGGCTGCACTTCTCATGGCAATTAGTGTTTTGCCCTAATAGCATTTGCATAACAGACAACGAAGCTGGTCTTGATGATTCATTGTATATGCATTTTTAATGTTCTTCTCCACCACTCTACAGCACCAAAGAACCAGAAATCACACCCCAGTCGCTTGGGAGAGAACAGTTTGGCACGTCTCTGAGTGAAGATGAGAGAAAGGCCATAAGTCAGCCAAAAGAGCCTAGAAATTCCCCTTTGGCCAAGAAAGCCATGGCTGGCGGAAGGAGGTGAACACCACAAGACAAGATGGCTTCCAGTTCCAGTCCCGCTTAGCGCGGCCCAGCTACCAAGCCAGGCCAGGCGGGATGCGCCACTAGACCACCATGGACGGAGCGAACAGCCCAGGCTTGCAGCTGCAGCAGCTCCTGCCCACAAGCAGTCCTGACCCTGTGAGCGAGGGCTCCTTCTCCTATAAGGCAAGAACTTTTTTTGGTTTTGAAATTTTGCATTTTTTTTTTAATAAGAATGTAACAGTACAGCATTGGCTAACATTGATGTCCAGGGACTGCACACCTACTGCTGGTAGAAATAGGCAGGCCCTCCACACATCTGGGACAGTATATAATCAGAGAAAGTCTGCTCATTAACTAGTATAAAAATATAGAGGTGGAGAAGTATTTTTAAAGGAATGCATTCCCACATAGAAGATTTGATATATATATTTTTAATTCACCTCTTCCCTTACTCGGAGACAACCTTTGTTCATATTCCTGTGTATTTCCTTCCTGCTTTTTTCTGGCATTACAAATTCAGGATCAGAATTATGTTAAGTTTCCTATTTTGGTGGTTTCAGTTAACCTTGTTTGTGAAATGTTTCTCCATGTCACAGTGATTGAAAGTATCCTTTCGACTGATGGCGTAATAATCTGTTGAGATGCTGTATCAAGATTTGCTGAACAGGGCCCCTATTGTTGGAAGTTGAGGTTGTTTCTCATCTGTGGTGACAGTAAGCAATCTGTGTGCTCTTTGCTGTCTCTAGTAATTGGCTCTCTCTGGACAAGACTCTCTCTCTCTAGTCAATAAGGCCACAAATGTCAGAGCATCAGGGACAGAGAAAATTAGAACGTAGAGTGAATACAATAGGCCTAGGGGTGAATAGAAGCCAAATAGACAAATGCAGACTCTAAGAAAACACAGAACACTCTGCCTGGTGCGAGTTCTAATAAGAAATTTCATTTCCATCACAAATTTAATTCAGTTACTTATTATAGAAATATCTTCATGCCAGAGCAAGGATTAATAAGTTATGGTGACTCTACCAAAAAGCTGAAGAATTGAGATGGGGGACAGGTTTAGGAGCTAATGGAAGTGCCAAGTGGGGCAAAAGGAAGAGAGCATAGGGTTCAGATCCCTTCTCTGCTCCTTCCTTGGTAAGTGACCGTGGACATCCATGTGCCTTAACCCTTCAAAGCTTCTGTTAGGAAGAAAATGGTAGCAGTGATTCCTCCCTCCATCCCTCATCCCCCCATGCTGTGTGGATCAATGGAAACAACCTGTGCTAGTGCCAGGCATGTAGCAGGTGCTTGACTCAGAAATGCCTCATGGCGACAAAGAGGAAGTGATCAAAGTGCAGTGAGCAGAGGAGGTGCAATTAATTCCATCTGGGGTTAGGAGAAAGAGTTTCTAAAGGGAAGCTGTCTCCTTCTTCCTTGTTTTGTTTCCTAAGGCTATTTTGTTTGTAAGGAATAGTATCTTTTCTAAGAAACTGAGGCCAAAGGGGGCAGGGAGTTACTCTATGTCTACAAGGAAGCTTGTAGAACTCAGGGGCAGGAGAGCAGTGTGGCTGGCACCATGCTAAACTCTTGCCCCCAACTTTAAAAGAGGGAAGATCTGATTGGTCCAGCTTGGATCAGGTGTCTGCCTTGGTCCAACCAACGGTAGTCAGGAGGGTGGAGTTCCCCAGCACACTTGGTTTCTGGGGCCCCATCATGATGGGCAGCTCTCAGAGAAAAGTGGTTTGTCGACTGAGCGGGCTGCCCAAAGTTATCTCTTACCTTCAGGCAAAACATTAAGAGATCCCAAGTCCAATTGGGTGGGTGGGATGAAGTTAAGAGTGAGCAGATTGCCTTGAGTTGCAGCCCTGCCCTCTGCCCTACCCAACAGGAAATGGAGTCTATTGTTGGAGGAAGGGGCCTGGGAAACAGATCAGTCAACAGGCTGAGTTGCCCAGGAGGCAGCTGACGTTAGGAGATTATAGAATTATAATAATCCACACTGGAGGCTTTGCCTCAGCCAGAAGACTCAGGCCCGGATTTCTTCTATTTAGCAAATAGGTGTTTCAGTTGAGCGCCTGCCTGTCCATGCTTGTGCTGTATGGGATGGGAGCTATAGAGATAAGATACATCTTCCCTTGAAGGAGGTGGGGAAAGCCAGTCCCACGAGTCTCTACACTTTAGCACAGAATGTGGCCCAAAAGCAGAGAACAGTGCTTAGAACAGGCTTATTGGAGTTGGAGAGACCTAACATCAAATCCCAGCTCTGTCACTTTCTAGCATTATGTAACTCCTGGGCAGGTCAGTTTTAAATCCATCCTACAGGATGGCCATGAGGCTGACCTGAATTTCCAGATGAGGAAACTGAAGCTGCTGGCATCACCCTCTGTCTGTGCCTGTGGAAATCTTACTCAACCTTCTATCTCCAGCTCAGGTATCACCTTTTCCATGAAGCCTTTGTTAGATTTCCTGGCATAAAAATGTCATTCTTTATCTATCTTCAAAGGTCAACTCACAATTATTACCATAATCTTAACAATAATAGTAGCAGCTACACTTGTTGAGTGTGTACACAGGGACTGTGCCAATCCTCACAAAAGCCCCCAAAGGGCAGGTACCATTATTCCATTTTACAAATGAATGAACAGGCTCAGAGAGGGTTACTTAACTTATCCAAGGCCACACAGTCAACAAGTGGTAAGACTGGGATTCCATTCAAGTCTGCCTACTGCCAGAAGCACTTGGTTTTATCCTCTACTCTTTGCTGCCTACCTGTGCCAGGCACTCCACAAGGTCCCTTCTTTCCCTGACACTGGTTATTAAGTATTGAAATGGCAGTGTGTCACCTGAGAGGAGGTGCCTTACCTGAGAGAAGGTAAGCATCAGGAAGCTTACCAGGTTACAGGTGTAATACAGCCTGGTTAGCCAGATTGCTGCCTCCCTTGTATTTGAATGTGAGTAACCTTCAGAGCCAACCAGGATGCAGTTTATCCTGAACTTCGGGTTTTAAGCCTCAGGGATAGTGAGGGGAGCGAGGCCATTTAAACAGCAAGAGATGGCTGGTCTTATCACCTTGGTATTTAAACAGTGGCTGTTGTCAGCAGATGTAAAGCCAACTTCACCATGAGATCTGGGCTGAGGTTTCACTCAGAGACCCACATCCAAGCAAGCCTTCCTGCCTCTGTGACTTTTGTCTGATTTTCTAGAAATCAGAAATTACAAGAGTTCAATTCTTGGGTCAGAGGATATCAGTGCCAGAAGGGTCCTTCGAGCTGCTGCTAAGAATTGTAATAATAAAAATGAAAATTATAAAAATAATAGCAACAAGATTGTTCTAGTATTTATTGCATACCTCTTGATGTTTCAGCGAGTGCCTTATTTCCCACAACCTGACAATCCCATGAGAGTTTATAATCAGTCTGAGTGGAGGCTCAGTGGTTCCAGGTAATTCTCCTGAGGTCACCCCACAGTGAGGGGCAGAGCAGAAGCCCAGCACAGGAAGCTGAGCAGAGAGAGGTGTGACCTCTCCCTTTACTCTTTGGGGTTGTTGAAGTCAGGGCTAGAGGCAGCGGAGGCCAGAATCCTGCCACCTGTACCTAGTTTTGCCCTCACCCCACTTTCCTTAACTTTCTACTCAGAGACAGTCCTCTGAGCACAGTGACCAGAGCCGGGTTTCTGCCTTACCTCCTCATTCATCATGTCCTTTCAATCTCAAATGGCTGGATTTGGACCATCTGCATTCTTTTTTTTTTTTTTAAAGATTTATTTATTTATGCATACAAGAAATGGGGTGCAGGCCAGAGGCGTGGGGGAGTAAGAGGATTCACCAGAGTGGGGAATAGAACAGGCAGAATGACCGAAACACACTGCTGAGGGGAGCAGTGGGTGAGTCAGGAGAGGTCTTCTGTGCCATGTGGGTAGCTTCCTGGCTGGGGATTGAACTCCCACTGCATTGGCTGCAGATAGCTTCATAGGTTGCATCTTAACCCTTTGCGCCACCAGGGAGGACCGTCTGCATTCTAACTGTAGGGCTTCTGAGAAGTGGGAGGCCTCACTCCTTCCTCACCCATAAAATATTGGGGACCAAAGTATTGGGGAGACCAGTGTTCAGGTCTGACTCTGACACTTGCTCACTCTCACTTTTGCCTTGTTGCAGACCTTCCAGGTAACTGAGCTCCTCCACCTGGGCAGGTCTGGGAGAAGTGTTTGTCTTTAAAATGAGGGGCAGCGGGCCTCCGCTGGTGGCGCAGCGGTTGTGCACTGGGTTGCGAGGCTCTGCAGTGCCGGTTCTATCCCTGGCAAGGGTCCCACATGGTGCGCAGACCTCTCCTGCCGCCCGCTGCTCCCCTCTGCAGTGTACTTTGGTCCTGCTGCCTGTTCTGTTCCCTGCTCTGGCTCTGGTGAATTCTCTCACCCTCCCGCGCTTCTAACTGTACCCAGTGCTTGTATAAATTAATTAATTAATTTTAAAAAAATGAGGGGCAGCCCTCAAAGGATTCAAATTGAGACACTGTTGGGAATCTGATGAGGTGTTACCTCAGAAGAATCAGCCCGGTTGACACTGGGGTGAAGGAATTCAGGAACCAAAGGTGTTGCAGGTGGAGATGCTGGCCTGACTGACGCCATGATTCTCACAACTGCCCATCTGTGAACATGCTTGTTTAGTTTCACCTTTTCCTAAAGAACAAAGCCACCAACAGGCCAATCCCCAGCCTGGGTTAATGATCCATGTATACTTATATGTGTACTCACGAATGCGACACTTTACAGAAATTAGATGAACACAACTGAGGTGGATTCTCAGCAGGAAGAGGAGCGTGGTGGGTTGAAAAAGCTCCCAGCAGTGTCAGAGGTGAAAGCTGGGGGGCACTGCCCTTTGCTTCCTCCCGTGCCAGCAGTCCCAGATACCACCCCCATGTTACAGTTTTCCAGCTCTGAGGTTTGGAGAAAGTCCTTCCGTCAGGGGCTAGCTGTCTCCTCAGCGCTGGGTCACCCTCTCTGGGCACTTGAGGGTGGCCTGTAGGTGCATGTGCAAACTCTGTAACCCCTGGGCCAAAGCAGCTTCTTTGCTTGACTTTAAATGCTCATCAAGTTGCGCCAGTCACCACTTCACAAGGGGGCATAATTAGTGTTGAGGAAGCCCTTTGAGAGCCTGGATGAAAGGGCGCTCGCTTTATTGTGCTGTTACTAACCGTGTCTGTCTGTAGCCAGTTATTACGCTTAGAGATAATATGCTTGTGGAAATGGCTTGAAAAGAACCCCCACCCCCACCCCACTCCGCAGCCTGTGTCATTAGTGGGAATGCAGCACTCACAAGGTGGGGTTCTTTTCCTCCTAATTTATTTTGCCACCTTTGAAGGACACCTCACAGTCTGGGGGAGTCATGCTCAGCAGGAGACTAGGAGTCAGGCCTGACCTCAGATCCTCCCATACTCCCCTGGGGTGAGTTATTTCACTGCTTTGCACTTCATTTGTTCATCTATAAACTCCTCCCAACAACTCACAGCACTTCCCACTTCCTAGGGTTGTTTGTGGCCTAAAGGGAGTGGGGATAGAAAGGGCCAGCATGACCCCTGGTGTCCCACATATACATGGTCCGTGAATCAGCCTTTGTCCTCACAGAAACTTCAGTGCACCCTTGTGCGGTGCACACTTCAATTCTCGGGGTCCCTCCTCCTGAATATTGACTGTTGTATTGGCCGTCTTGCTTGTTTCCCTTCTTCATCCTCTTTTCTTCCCCTTGGTGAGCTGTCACACATGTTCTCAGGCAGCCCGTGGGTTTAGCTGTCATCACAGAACAGCCAGGTGTCTCTGGGTAAAAATAACGGAGCTGCATTATTGAAAGGGTGCCGGCCCTTTCTAGCCCCACTCCCTTTAGGCCACAAACAACCCTAGGAAGTGGGAACTGCTGTGAGTTGTTGGGAGGAATTTATAGATGAACAAATGAAGTGCAAAGCAGTGAAATAACTCGCCCCAGGGGAGGACGGGAGGATCTGAGGCCAGGTTGAGCCATAGGAAATTGCTGTTTTATAGGTTAAAAGTGGCCCAATATTGGCAGTTTCATATGGTTCACCCTGATACTGAGTGCTCTCTCCGCATTACCTGGGGAACGTCCCGCAGCAGTCCTGAGAGAAGGGTGCTGCCACCCCTAGCGAGCAGCGGAGAAAGGAATCCAGGTCTAGCAGGGCAAGTGAGGCCAGGCCACCTGGCCTTGACCCCGCAGCTGGGCCACCCCACGTGCCCTCTGAACAGCCCCAGTCAGGCCTCAGGCTTCTTTCCCTACAGCTCTGGAGCCCGTTCCTGCTCCCCTTTGCTGCTGTGAGGGTGATAAGGCAGCTTTGAGGTGTTGCAGCAGGAACAGAGAGTCCTTGTCTCCTCCCTGCCCGAGGCAGTTCCTCTAGAATCGCTGTAGGTTAACGGTTTTTAGCAGTTACTCTCTGGCACAGGGAAACTGAGTTTCTGGGGCTCAGCAGCCACCTGGCCTCAAGGATCTTTACCTCTCTGACGGAAGAAGCCCATCATGAAAGGACACATGTATGATTCCATTAGTATGAAATGCCAGAGCTGGCCAATCCTTGGACAGGAAGGGGAAAAGGAGGGTGGCCGTTAATGGGTTTGGGGCTTCTTTTTGGCAGGATGGAAATGTTCTGGGCTTAGATATGGGTTGTGCAATATTGATAAAAACTGGACATTTTGAATAATACGTGGCAACTCTGGAAATGATATCCCCCTCCTTTGTTTGTTGTTGCTGCTTGTTGTGATTTGTTATTCTTTGCTTGTCTAGTGATTTTTCTAACTTCTTTTTGTAAAGTCCACTTTCCTTGTTGTGCATGGCCCACTGAAGTCTGTGTCTGTTAGCTTGGTGGTCAGCTTGTGTTCTGACGGTTTCTTTAAACACCTAGAACCAACAGAAAAAAACAATAGCAAAAAAAAACCTCTCCAAGTGTCTGCAGAGTGGCTCTGTGTTGAGGCCTCCAGTGCTCAGTCAGCCACTTATAATCTGCTTTAGCCTTTACTTTCTGCTTGTGCCCAGGCTGAACGCTGGCCAGAGGTGAAGACTTAGCACCTTCTCAGGCTTTTTTGGAGTGTGCATTCCATCCTGGGTATGTGCATGGCCTTTTCTATTCCCTGGTATACACAGGAGCTTTTTTTATTTTTAAATATTTATTTATGCATGCATGCAAGAACTGGGGTACAGGTGATGAGAGGATTCACCAGAGACAGAGTGGGGAACAGAACAGGCAGACTGACTGAAATACACTGCTGAGGGGAGCAGCAGGCAAGAATGGAGAGGTCTGCTGCACCATGTGGGTAGCTCCCTGGCTGGGAAATCAAACTCGTGCTGCAGAGGCTGCGGATAGCTTCACAGTGCTATGCTTAACTCCTTGTGCCACCAGGGAGGTCCCCATACACAGGAGCTTTTAAAAGCCCTTTTTCTCCCACCTATATCCCTGGTTTTTTTTCCCAAGTGCTGCAGCCAATACTCATGTCTTGAAATGCTTTCATGAATAGCATCTCAGAGGCTGCTCCCAGCCCTGGTACCCCACTAGGCCAGGCCAAAACAAAGGCAAGCCCTTGTGGCAATCCTTCAGTGAGCTGCCAGACAGATCAGAATGCACAACCACAATATTTAAAAAGTAAGGTCCATATTGCTTACTGTGTCCTTAGGATTGCCACAGAGCTGGGGTACAGGACAGTAGGCTACTAACAGCAGTGCTCTCTGGCTGTAAAAACTGCTTCCTTCTTCATCAAGCCTTCCCCTGGTTATGAATTTTTTACTGGACTCCAGAGTCCTATAAAAATTGATTCTAACCATTTTTGCCAACTTGCTAGCCATTTTTCTGGAGGGATGATGACTCTCTGGCATTCTCAAGCTCACCATTTTCAAGGGCATCATTCCTAGTGTTATGAATATATCCAAAGCCACTAAGTGTTGTACAGTTTAAACATGGTAAAGTTTATGATTTGTGAATTTTATCTCAATGTGAAAAGGTAATGATGAGTTAAATATATTCTGGGTTCATAGAGTGTCCTTAAAGAAGTTTTAGAATCAGGCATGAAAACAGGGACATTATAATACCTTAACTGAGCAAAAAAAAGGAGGCGGGAAGAAAAGGGAATCAATCCAGCAATGGAGTGATATACACTCAAGTCAGATGGGAGATCAAAGTCCCCCATTAATAAATCTGGAATAGAGTCAAAGCTTCAGCCTCAGTCAACAATTGTAGGCAGAGGGTGGCACTTTCTGGAAGTGCCCCTTCCAGGTTTGTGTTTTGTAAATCAGCAAGGCAGCCGGATTCAGCTTGGGTAGTAAAATGTCAACAGAGGATCTGGGGTGTGGCTTTGTGATGAACATTTCAAAACACATCTTGGAGCCCCCTGACTTGGACCCTGCTCATGTCTGCACCTCTGAACTTTCCTTACAGGAAAACTTGATTGGCGCCCTCTTGGCGATTTTCGGGCACCTTGTGGTCAGCATTGCACTTAACCTCCAGGTAAGTTTCATCACCAAAAAACCAGAAAGTTCCATCACCAGTGCTGGGGGAGAGCTGGAGGCAGGTGAGCTGGGGTGACTGGCACAGGTCCTGCTGCCTCCACGCTAGGGCTTGATACCCACTTGCTCCCTGGACTAGGACAGTACCTGTGGGTTGTTCCAGAATCTTGATTCTTTGCCCCCATTCAGCCCCCACCCCAGGTCCTTATCTACTCTCCCTGGGCTATTGCAGTGACCTCATAACTGGTCTCCCTGCCTCTGGTCTCATCTCTACTGTGTCTTGCACAAGCTGCCCCTTTTGTACAGTTCAACCCTGGTGTCAGTTCCATTGCTGACAAGTCCCTGGGGTGCCCTTGGAGCAGCTCCCACAGATGCCCTGCCCAAATTCTCCATCCTGTCTGATTTGGCAAACAGCTGTAGTTTGGAGCAAGCTGAGGAGCTTCTCCTAAGGGCACAGGGGAACTGGTTCTACTGGCACAGACGTGCAGCTGTAGCCTGGGGTGAGTGCCCCTGGAGACAGCCTTCAACTAGTGGACAAGGAGCCCGTGGATTAGTACCCCAAGTCCTGGGAGTGGATGGTTGGTTCTGAGTAAGTCCACAGTGTTTCTCAGAGGATCCCCAGTTGTTCAAGGCCCCCACTCCCCGGGTAATGCACTCTGTGGGGTCTCCCCACCTTCTCACTCCCTTACTGCTTTCTAGAATCACAGATCAACTCCCTGCTCCCAAGTCCTTGTCTCAGGGTCTGTTTCTGCAGAGAGGGTAACCCCCACGGGGGTCCCGCCAACTCCCTCCACCACTGCTACCCAGCTTCCAGCTGTGGTGGGCTGTTCCCCTCCCCGACCAGGCACAGGCACTCACGTGCACTGGTGCACCTGCCAGCGACCCACTTGGCTCTGTGTACATATGTGAGCACATGGCTCTGTGTTTCTGAAGCCACGTGGTCTCTTAGCTACTTGTCTGGTTCATTTTCTTCTCTCCAGAGACTATCATCTCTAGTACCCTGCAGCCCCCACCATGATCCTCCCCAAATGCCAGCCTGGCCCCCACTAAATCAGCCTGACTTTATGGCTTTCCTTAATCACTGTTCCATTTCCAGAATATGGGCCATGCTTGGGCCAAGTAGTCACCCAGCAAGGACAGGGCTCACTGGTAGCTGATACTTCTACAGAAGGGCATGAAGCCAAGTGGGCACCCCAAACATAGGGACTTCTGGGCATTGCAGTTAAAGGGAGCCCACCCCAAAGCCAGGCCAAAGCGGGAATCCTTTGACCATGCTCTACCCCATGCCTTGCCTGTGATATGTGCTAGGAATGCATGTTTCTAGGCCACGCCTTTCAGCACAAGGCCCAGATGTGTAGTTTTGCAAAGCTTCCCAGGGAAATTTTAAAGCTCCCCAGTCATTTTGAGAATGATTGTCTTAGAATAGCAATCTAGTGTTTTGATTGCTGCTGCTTTGCTTTTCCCTGAGTAAGGACTCCTGGAAGAGCCCACAGATCTTCCCAAGTTGATTATAAAAGTGAGGGGTAGATTTAGGATACATGCCTCACAGCATTGCCCCCCAAACATCTGAGCATCTGGCATTCTTTCTTGGATTTCTAGAAATACTGCCACATCCGCCTGGCAGGCTCCAAGGACCCCCGGGCCTATTTCAAGACCAAGACGTGGTGGCTGGGCCTGTTCCTGATACTGCTAGGCGAGCTTGGCGTGTTCGCCTCTTATGCTTTTGCTCCACTCTCGTTGATCGTGCCCCTCAGTGCTGTCTCCGTGATAGGTAAGAGGGGGTTCCCCCCACTGTGCCCTGGGACAGCCCCCCTCCTGCATGACCTCAGTGTCAGAAAGTACAAGAAACTTTTGACTTTAATAATAATTATTGGCACTTACATACCTGGCCCTGCTTTAAGCTCTAACAGATATCAAGTCTTCTAGTCCTCTGGGTGGCCTTTTTAAGGGGGATACTATTATTATCCTCATTTTACAGAAGAGGAAACTGAGGCACAGAGCAGTGATGTTAACACAGCTAGTAAGCAGCAGGGTTGGGATATGAACTGGGCTGTCTGGTTCAGAATCTGTTTAAGTTCAGAAAGCTTATAAGAATTGGTTTTTATTTCTGCTGCAGGAGAAAATTTAACTTTAGCCCATTCAGCCTAACACTGTCAAAATAAATAAGCTCTAATAGACTTCAGATCCCTTACTCCTCTGAGAAATGCACATTCACCTAATTCTCCAATCTTCTTGCATTGACAGATACCATTTTAAAAACATGAACTTTCTCACCTGCCATTTTTCTATGGTTTCTAAAATTACCCAGCCAGTGTTTCAGAACATTTGAACCAATGAAAGGAGCCTCTAATGCCCATGAGGTCACAGGTAAAATAGGACCAGAGAAAAAAAATCTTCTTAAATAAAAGATGTTGGTAGATTAATGAACAATAGCTTTTTGTACATAGGAGCAGGGACACTGAACTTGCTTTGAAATATTTCCTTCCATCATCCTGGCAAGCAGAATACTGCCTGGGAGCACTTTTCTGCTCTTAAAGGGGAACGCCATCTTTTGAGTTTTACTTCTCCTAGAATTAAGAAGGCTCCTTCCAGATCAGGGATGGCATATGTGAGGCTTCTTCATCCCCCTCCTGTACCCAACGCAGGCATCATTAATTAGTTAATTAATGTCATTAAAAATTGTAGCCTCCCTGAGAGCTATTTTTTAATCAGTGGTTCCCAAACCTGAGGCCTCAGAATTGTCAGCACGTCAGGCAGACGTACTACCAGTTACCAGGAGTTGGCAAAGGAGTGGAAACCTATCTGCTTTCCCTGGCCCTAGGATAAAAGCCTCTTTTTCTTGACCAGCAGCCTGTAGGGTGAGGGAGGTCCTCGAGCATGCTGGGTTCTTTCCTATACAGTATCCTTTTCTTTCTTTGCTTCTTTTTTAATGTAGAGTGAGTGCCTTTGGTTGACTCAAGTAGATAGCCAAGTCCTAACTTTTCCCTGTTGTTTGACATCTGGCCCACTTTCCACATTGACGTTATTGCCAACCTCTCCAGGTATTTGGATTTGTGTCCGTTGCTAATATGTCCAAAGGGCTCTCAGAACTTTTATTCCTAACAAGGATGAGTGACTAATGCTTTATAGGAGTCTTTAAATATCAGTAAGAATTTTTCAAAAATCCAATACATAAAAGTGAAAGGCTGAATTATAATGAGAGTCTACCACTAGAAAATAAGGAACTCTTAGAGCTCCATAAGTCACCAGTGAGAAATAATATTAAAAATAAATATTAGGGCCTCCCTAGTGGCACAAGGGGTTAAGACACAACCTATGAAGCTATCTGCAGCCACTGCAGCACGAGTTCAATTCCCCCCACCGGCCAGAGAACAACCCACATGGTGCAGCAGACCTCTCCTGACTCTCCCACTGCTCCCCTCAGCAGTGTATTTCAGTCAGTCTGCCTATTCTGTTCCCTACTCTGTCTCTGGTGAATCCTCTCTCCCTCCCCCCCCCCCCCCCCACACACATCTGGACTCTACCCCAGTTCTTGTATGCATAAATAAATAAATCTTTTCAAAAAATAAATAAATATTAAAATGTAACAACCACTGGATTCTGGGTACCTACTATTTATCTTCCACAGTACTAGGTGCAACAATAACTCAATCATTGAACATTTACTGTGTAATAAATTACTTAAATGTATTATCTCATTTATTTGCCCTTATAATTCAGTTAAGCGGGTCTTTTCAGTGGGTGGTGATAAGCCAACTCTCAGAGAGAAAGAGTAAGAAGAAAATGAAGAGAAAAAGGAGAAGGGCAGGAGAGAAAGTGGAGGGGGGCAGGAAAGTGGGAACGGAGAAAAGGAAGAGCTGATTTGCTGTGTTTCTGACTTCTGTGCTGTGAACATTGCCACTGTGGCTGACTTCAAGGCAACAATGAATATTTAACAATCGGCAAGTTGGGGTAAGGTGGAGCCAGCACACTACTTCACAGACTAGGAAACCAAATCTCAGGTGGAATGGATTACCCAAGGACACAGCCAGGGGTGGCAGGCACTGAAATAGCAATCCAGGTCTGCCCACGGGAACGCCAGCCTTCAGGGCAGTCACGAGGAAGTCTGCGTACATCTGCAAACACAGACGAGTCAGGGAGAGCAGAGAATTGGGAAAATGTCAGAGGCGGACGTGGCCCTGGATGGAGGCCTGCGACAGTCCTGGTTGCCAGTCTGGCCTTCTCTTACCAGCTGTGTGGTCTTGAGCCCTTCATCTCTCTCAGCCTGATTGTCCCTATTCTTCAAATAATACCACCCACCTCAAAGGATGGATGTGCCAGAAATAACTTGTCTATATTGCCTGTCTCACAGCAAGTTATCCCAGATGGGGTAACAGGAGCCAGAAGGGACTGAGTGAGAGGCCAGGAAGTGCCAAGCTCCGTTGCCACTGAGCCAGCCCCGAGGGTGTAGGCGTGAGAACGCCCTTGTACCTACTGCGGCCTCAAAATTCTCTTAACTCTATTTTTTTTTATAGCTAGCGCCATCATAGGAATCATATTCATCAAAGAAAAATGGAAACCTAAAGACTTTCTGAGTAAGTTCAACTGATTTTAGCCCCTACCTAAGGTTCCATTAAATTCAGCAAATGGTCACTCAGTGTTAGACCAGTGCCGGACCCCATAGGCACAGAGAGGAATAAGCTCTTTCTGCTCCTGCTCGAAGGAAACTTGGGGCAATAGGCTGGTAGATCTTTTTTTTAATTACAGCAAAATTGACATGTAACATTATTTCTATTGTAGGTATACAACTTAATGATTCACCATTTGTACCCATTATAAATGATCACAATAGGACTATTTTTTCTTCACTATTTTCAAATATGTGTGCTACTAAGAAAATAGAAATAGAAAATAGAAAAATAGAAAATAGAAAAATTTTCAGATACACAGACTGTTGTGTTGTCTGGTAGGAATGTAAATTGGCACAAGGCCTTTGCTGTATTATTGATTATAATCCCCATACTGTCCATTTCATCTCCTTGATTTATGTATTTTGTAACTGGAAGTTTCTACCTTAGGAGCCACTTTACCTATTTCACCCACCCCCCACCCCCAATCCTCCACCCCTGTAGTAACTATCAGTCTGTCTCTATGATTTAGTTCTGTTTTTTAGATTTCATATATCAATGAAATTATACAGTATTTTTCTCTCTGTGTCTGACTCATTTCACTCAGCATGATACCTTCAAAGTCCAGCCATATTATCATGAATGGCACGATTTTGTTCTTTTTCACGGCTGGGAAGTAGTCCATTGTGTAAATAGTTGTGCACTGTTTAATGATGGGGATACTTCTTTAGATGATTCTGTCACTGGTGAACATCACAGAATGTAATGATACTCTGTATGGCCTACTACCCACCTAATGTATATGGGACCACTTAGGCCTAGTTCTGTTGGGACCACCATTACATATGCAGTCTGTGTATTGTACATATATATTAATTTTTATATACAATTTCATTTTATGTATGTACAAATATGCATATATATGCATATATGTATATCACACCTTTGTCAATTCAGCTTCCCTGCATGGAGGAGACTTTTCACCAACCCTGTGGAGTTCATGGGGTGTGACAGGACCCTGGGAAAGAGTCAGGAGACTGTCCTATACCCAGTCTCTAACAAGCCAGGCACTTAGAGTTCCCTCAGATGTGGCTTAGTCAGTTGGGAAGGGGTAATTTAAGCATATTTAACACTAAGGAAAATAATCTACACTTTAAAGTTTAAAAAACAACTAATAATAGTAAGTCGTAATCTGTTGCCCCCAAGCACATGCTGGTCTGGGGCTCACCCCCACAGTGAACCCTGGACCCTCACAGTGAGCCCCAGGACCACCCCTCTCCCCACAGGGCGCTATGTCTCGTCCTTTGTTGGCTGTGGCTTGGCCGTCGTGGGCACCTACTTGCTGGTGACATTTGCACCCAACAGTCACGAGAAGATGACGGGAGAGAATATCACCAGGCACCTTGTGAGCTGGCCTTTTCTCTTATACATGGTAAGAGAAGCAACTGGTCCTTCCACAGGCATGGACTGGAGGAGGCGGAGTCCTAGAAACCAAAAACCTGAGCCCCATTGGGGTGGGGGGAGGTGACTCAGTGTGTGTGTCACGGCACTGAAGCCTGAGGAGGTGACAGCGCTCGTGGGCAGGGGTGTCCTGAGTCATGTCTCAGCCTCCAGACCTAGTGCAGCAGCTGTGTGTTTGAGAAGTGTTTGTAGGTGTGCAAATCAACAGTAGACAGGCGGGGAGACCAGGAACCCCACCTGGGAGAAGGCTCTGAGAGCTGGGGTTGTGGTGGAGTTTTATTTCATCTTCGTCCTTCTGTATCTTTCTACACTGGGCATTTAAAACTTTTGTGGCAAGAAAGAAAGTTGAAATGCGAAACAAATATCCAATGTTATTTATTTATTTTGCCGCGTGTCACACAGCTGCTAGAAGCTGGCAGAAATGCTGGAAACTTGTCTCCTGAGCTCCTGGCCAGAGCTCAGCTCTCTGCCCCAGGTACAGCCCCTGACAGAACTGCTATGCACCAATGAAAGAGGCCATCTGAAGCACTTAATGAAGCTACTGGTAGATGCCTGCTCTGTGCCCAGCACGATGCCAGACACCTTTTTATGCATCATCTCAGAGTCGCTCACCAACCCTCTAAAGTGTTTTTCTCTCCTTATGTCCACTGACTCCATGCCCTGGTGGGCATGGAGAAGCATCCCCCGACAGAGCCAAAGACCCACCTCTTCAGGAAAGTTTCCCCCAAAACAGGCCTTTTCCTGGGGGAGCTCTGGGCTCTAACCTGTTCTGTGCTGTATGGCCGTGGCCTAGTCACTTAATCGGAAGCTCTGCCTCCTTCTCTGTGATTGGCCAGTCAGTGGGCCTGTGCTGTGGTTAGAAGAGACAGGAGATGGTGTGGAAGTGGCCAGGGCTTAGCTGCTGTGGGCTGAGAGACTGGTCTGGTTGGTCTTCTTCACGGTGATCTTGAGGCAGTGCTGCCAGCTGGAGAGATCTGGCCAAATCAAAGTCAGTAAATATTTAGGAGCTGCCTGCTGTGTGTTGGACACTGTGGATATTAAAGATAAGGAGACATGATCTAGAAGGCACTGTCTACCAGGAGGCACCAGGGTGGACTCAGCCAGCCAGCAACAGCACAAGGTGTTGTTCCAGTATCCATCCTCGTGAAGCTGGGCGTCCTGATTGCACGCAGGATGCTTGGAAATGTTAATGAGTAACTCTGCATCTGCTGGGTGGAGTAGTCTGCAGCCATTAGAGATAATTATGACAACTACATAAAACATGAAGATTGTTTATGGTAACTGAAAATGGCCCAATACGAAATTACACGTTGATCTGGTGACAAGTAGATCAAATGTGTATTCACTGCAACAAAGACAGGAAGGAACAGGAAAGGGAAAACAGCTGTGTTTTGTGGGCTCTAATTATAAGGAATTTTTTAAATGTTTCTTTTTGAAATGCCCATTAATGTCTCTGCATTAGTTTTTATAATAAATAAGCTTTCGTCAGGGGGTGGGGGAGGCAAATGAAGCTGAACCATCATCAGGGTTTCCTGCTTTCCTTTTGTTGGAGCTACCGCTGGTTCAGTCTTAGGGAAGTGTTTCCAAATGCTTGGGACTGTAAGAAGGAGAAAGGACACGTTGCCACGAGGGGAGGTGGGGAAAGCCTCAGACATGCCACCGTCTCTAATAGTGAGATTCTTCTGGAGCAGCTTCTTCATGCCAGGTGCTGGGCCCCTACCCTGAGGCCGTGTAGCCCAGTGGAACATGCATGCTTCCTGCAGCCAGACTGACCAGGTTCAAATCCAGCCTCTGCCTTTTACTAGCCAGGGATTGTGACAGCCCCTGCTTCATAGACTCCTTGTACTGATTTTATGGGTTTAATGTAGCTACAGTGTTTAGAATAGTACTGCGCATGGCCCTACAATGTAAGAGTTATTACCCCATTTTCCAGAGGAGGTAACTGAGGTTTAGAGAAGTAAGTCATTTGCCCAAGGTCACACAACTAGTTTAAAAGCAGATCCAAGTTCAAAGCTGGGCCTTCTGATTCCAAATATCCTCATCTTTCTACTCTGCCATCCACATATATTGGAGGTTTGATTAAGGGGCAAGAGACATGTGCACTGTGTACTTAACAAAGAGCTCTCCTCGATGAACAAGTGCCTCCCTCTTTGACTGACCCCTAGTTTTAATGGGGTTGCGCATGGAGCAGGGAAGTGCATGACAGCATCTCAGCCTCATGGCTCTTGGTCGGCCAAGATCGGGTGCCTACGAGGCCAGCATGTCACCCTCAAAGCCCTACCAGGAGGTGAGCTCCTTCTCCAGGGACCAGAGAGATTCACTCTGCAACCCCTTCTTTTTCTCAGGATATCTGTTAGTAGTTCCGGAATTCCCTTTTGGCGCTGAAGGTCTGTAGCTGATGGAACCAGCAGCATAAACTCTGGCAGGGTCTCCTGGTCTTGCCTTTCTCTCTGGTCCCCACTGACCTCCCTGCTACTGCTTTCTTTAGCTTGTGGAGATTGTCCTGTTCTGCTTGCTGCTGTACTTCTACAAAGAGAAGAACGCCAACAACATCATTGTGATTCTTCTCTTGGTGGCCCTGCTGGGTAAGTGGGGTCCTAGTGGCTGAGTCCCTGCATCCTGGAGACAGTTCCCAACTTGTGTATCTCATGGCCATTCTTGCTCAAGTACTAAGCGTCTCCAAGTGCCAGGAATGGTGTTGGTGGTGCTGGGAACTGGCTCCTACAGTACATGAGACCAATCCCACCCTCTAAAAGGAGCAATCTGTAGTCAACAAGGAGACAAATTCGTAGATATATACATTTGGGCAGTGATAATTACAATGAAAGAAGGCGGAGTAAGTGGGGGGTGGGTTAAGGGGTTACTTCAGAGAAGTCAGAGATGAACAGGTTCAATAATCAAGTCCTTAAGGATCCATGTAAAACCTATCAATTAATTCTGAACTCAAAGGCAAATGAAGCCGAACCATTATTCACTTCCTGCTTTCATTTTACTGGAGGACTGGCTTCTCCTTCCCTCCCGCCCTCTTCAGGGGATGGGTGCCCTGAGGACGGGGCTCCTTCCCACAGCAAGCCCACCCTCCACAGACAGGCAATAAACCACACAGACGTGTCACCATAGGAAAGACTTCCATTACTTTGAATTTTCTTAAAAACAACTTTATTGAGATATAATTTACATATCGGGTAATTCACCTGTCTAAATGGTGCAATTTAGTAGATTCGGGTGCATTCCAAGGTTTGCAGCTATCATCAGAATCAAAATGAGAACGGTTTCATCACCCCAAAAAGAAACCCTGTGCCCATTAGCTGTCACCCTCACCCTCCCTCTTCCCAGCCCTTGGCCATCCACAACTCGCTTCCTGCCTCTTTGGACTAGCTTTCTGGGCACGTGATATAGATGCAGTCAGACAGCGTGTGGCCTCGTGCCTAGTTCTCTATCCAGCGTCACATCTGAGAGTGTCGTCCGCATTGTGCCATGGGTCAGTCGTCCATTCCTTGGGGATTTTGTTTTCAAAGTGGGTTGGAAGGTCACCATCCCAAAAGGCTCTGTCCTGCTGAGTAGGAAGGCCCGAGGGTTCTGAGGCACACTGGCCAACCCCCCTCTGTTGTAACAAGGACAGCTGGATGACAGTGCTCATCTGACTGGCCTGAGTGCAGAGGGGCCCAGACGCCATGCGTGTGACGGGCTATTGGCAGATGGCGAGATGAGCAGACGCTGAGAAAACAGGCAAGCAGAGCGTCTCCACCAGAACAAGGGGCTCCCTTTGTACCTTGCTTGGACCATACCTGTTTTGCAAGGTGGACTGACAATTGAGATTGAAAAGTCATTTCTGTGCTACTGGATAAAGCAGTGGGCTCCATCAAGAGGTGAGGAAGACAGTCCATGGGGCCTGCAGGAAGAAGATGCTAGAATTCGTTTCTTTTTATCTCCACCTTTGAACTATTTCCTATACATGGCTTGTAATACACCTGCTATCTCAGCACAGTGCAGTGTGACTACAATGCTAAGATAGACAAGCCTGTGTATATGTTGGCAAAGTTGGCCTGTCCTCACAGTCACATGTATCCCGAAGCATCTGGAGGCCTTTGATCTAAGGAAATATTTTAGAAATATGGGTGAGTGAGGATATTTATACACCTTCTCCCAAGACGACCTTGAGAATGACTCTCCAAAGAAGTTCATCTACCCATTTCTGGTCATTGTGCCCTCCCACAATTCTGGGGGTTCAGGTAACTGAATTCATTGCTTTTTATGGTAAGTTTAGAAGCAGCATTTGGAGATACCTGTGGGGGCTGCTGTCCACCCTTCTTTGACGCAGTAGCACGAGGATGGCCAGCCCCTAGGATGGGCAGGAGACTCAGCATCGTCTCACCCTGTGCCCACCGGTCAGCTGCCATCTTTTTAACCAAGACCTTTGGGCATATAAACAGACTCCCTCCTGGCCCCCCCGAGATCCCAGCACCCTTTCTCTCTCCAGGCTCCATGACGGTGGTGACCGTGAAGGCTGTGGCTGGGATGCTGGTCTTGTCCATACAGGGGAACCTGCAGTTGGACTGCCCCATCTTCTACGTGATGCTCGTGTGCATGGTGGCCACCGCCATCTACCAGGCCGCGTGAGTTGCAAATCGCTTTCCTACTGGACCTGGCCATACAGGTCACTTCCATTTCCTCAGTCTGATCACATTTGTGTTTGAAGCTGTAGGGAAGGCAGAACATTCCAGCACTGCCTCTCACCAGGGCTTGGCATCCACAGTGGAGACTGAGGGCTGGCCCTGAGTGGTCACACACAAAGCAGGGGTTTTGTACACCCGAAACATGGAGCCTGGAGTGGAGAGTCCCCCTCTGCCTCAGATTGTGAGAAAGGTGTGATCAGGGGCCCTCACATCCCACCTGCATCCCGGCCAACATCTGCCTCGGGAACGTCAAAGCTGTGCCCTCCCCACAAGCCACCCAGGTGGAAAACAAAACAAGTTATCACTTCTTGTCCTCAAGAAATCTCCCCAAATCTTCCCAAATAGAAGAGCAAAGTTCTTTCTTTAAGAAAGAGAATTAAATTAAAAAAAATGACAATACCCGGGTGGGGCCTGGGCCTCGTTGATGTCTGAGACCCAGTGCCGGTCAGCAAGGGCTGGAAGGACGCATGACAATCCTGCATGATGCATGAGGCTGATCCACCCTGGGCAGGGCGGGCCCTGGACTCTGGCCTGGGCTCACCAACCCCCAGCCGTGGCCTCTTGAGTGACAGCTGCAGAGGGGGTGCTGGGTTTAAGTGGGCCCTGCTCTCTGCTTTCACTTGAACTTGAGTTCATCCATGGGAGGCACACGTATATCCTCATTTTGCAAATAAGGAATTGTGGCTAAGCAGCCAGGAAGTGGGGAGCAGCAGGCTTCCCAGCCACGTCCCTCACCCCTTTGCTCTGCAGTCTCCCATTCCGCATCCCTCCCTAAGAAGCACACAGCTGGGCGCAGTGCCCAGAGTGCTGGCCAGTCGGCCAGTTGTATCAGCTTCTTTTATCACTGTGACTACTACTCCTAACCCTAGTCATCATCACTGAGCCCCTCAGGGGGCTACTCCAGGGTCACAAAGAGGAAGCAGACCCCCCACCTGCCTGGCAAGGGGCCCCTCAGTCAACACAGTGAGCACTGGGAGCTGGGGTGCCAGGCCCCTTGAGGCCCCCCCGAGGTGCTCACAGCCCTGGTGTGGGGACAGCCTGGAGGGCTCACAGCCCTCCTGGGGGCACAGCCCCCGGGGAACCCGCGATTGTACAAGGCTGGGCGCCAACTGGGATACTGCACAGAGAACAGCAAAAAATATGTCCCCAAGCCATGGCAGTGTTTATCCTAGTGATCGGGAAGGACTATAAGTTTCTTTTCCCTTTATTTATTGTAGTGATTACATTTTTTTAAATTAAGAAGATGTAATGATACAACATTAGGCAGAATGTGATAGGGCTGTCAGAGCTCCTTGGAGTGTGTAAGAGACCACGGTGTCTCTTCTTGGTGGGGTGGGGACTCGGGGCACAGGGTTGAGGAGAAGGGCACTTGGGGTCACAGGAAGCATGTGGTCGAGGCATGAGACTGGGGAGTCATGCCCCCTTGGGCAGTGGCGTGGGCCTCAGGCTCTTTGTCTCGGGGAAGAATGGGAGCAAAGCTTGGGCCTCAGACCTGGAGATACCCGCGATGGCATCTTTGTAACCCCCAGAGGCATGCCCTCATGCGTCCTCTTCATGTTTTACACCGAAGTCGACTGTCCTCAGCTTTCCCACAGCCCGCTGACCAGAGTGCCTTTGTATTGAAGGTTTTTAAGTCAAGCCTCACAGATGTACGACGCCTCTCTGATTGCCAGCGTGGGCTACATCCTGTCCACAACTATCGCTATCACAGCAGGTAAGGGGGGCACTGCTGGGGTCGTCTTCTTCCTTCACAGGGGGTTTCTGCCCCGTGTGGGTGGGCCGGTCCCGCCTATGGCAGAAGGCCTGGCCAGCTCACTTGTCTGTCTGCCAGCGCTGAAAATGGTTTCATGGAGAAAGTTCAGGATTTAGAACCAGAGACACATGGGTTTAGAGCTGTGTGACTCTGAGCATCTCACTTAACCTCTCTGAACCTCAGTTCCACATTCCTGAAATGGAATTAATAACTTACCTTCTAGAATGGAACATGCACAATCCATACACTCCCTACTTTGTACAGCTTCTGCGAGGTTCTTTCACAGTTTTCAAGTCACTGTTGGCCGAGTGACCACAGAGGTCTCCTGTGTGATTTTCAGCGATGATGAGTCTGTGAATCATCTGCAACACAGATGGTTATTTCTCCATCTTGAGAAATGGGGAGTGGAGTAGAGTGCTGTAAAAACTGGTGACTGGGTCTGTTTCATTGGAGGAAGGTAGCTGTGGGGTACATGGGGACTCCGTTCTTTTTGTGTGTCTCACCTCCAAATAAAAACTTAAGAAAATAGGTGGAGGTAAGAAGGGGGGAAGTCTGCTCCCCAGAATGGCTATTATTCCATTCTTCTAGTATTTTAGTAGACACCGTTTGTGGAATTTTTAATCACTTTGGTCCCGAGCAGGGCAGAGAGTTAGGCAGGGTGGTGAGTGGGTGACAGGAAACAGCTCACCTGTGCACATATGCTGTGCCCCTGCAGGCGCCATCTTCTACCTGGACTTCATCGGGGAGGACGCGCTGCACATCTGCATGTTTGCGCTGGGGTGAGTTCCGCCTGCCCTGGACCTCACAGTGCTGGACCAGCGCCCCAGGAGGTGGCCCTCTCCCCTTTAGAGCCCAGTCACTTGGGATCCTGAAGGCACCAGGCAGCTGCTGGGACTTTGGGGCTTCATTTCCTTCCCCTTTTCTCTTGGGCTTTGATCTCCTTGTCGTTTCTAAAATATCACATTTTGACACATGAAGAGTCTCTCAACCTACCTTAGATTTATTAAAAAAAAAAATGCATCGTGAAGCTGCATGAGGCACCAATATTTGACAAAATAACAACAGGAATGATAATATTCCACATGGACAAGAGGAGGAGGAGAAAAGTCTTGGCCACACTGTGAGAAGTTGTTTAATGGGGAGAATAATTTGGCCATGTCTATAAAAAGTTTAAATGAGCATGCTTTTGAATGCAGCATTCCATTTCCAACCGCTTATCTTAGGGAAAAATACCTGAAATGGGACATGGCGACACATGTATGCAACTGTTTATTAATTTTAATGTTATTTGAATAAGTTAGCAATTGAAGCCACCTAAATGCCCAGGGGTAGAACACAGGTTAAATAAATTAGGGACTATCCTTGTCATAAAGTACCTTTCTGCCACCTGGAAAATCTGAGGCCATTGTGAAGGTGCTGCCATAGAACCACAGGTGGATACAGTGCATGGGAAAGGTTAACACTTTTTTATATGTGACCTACTCTATGATCCAGTAATTCTACGACCCATCTGGATTAATACCCAAAAGAAATGAGTGCATGTATTGACAAAATGGCTTGTATGTGATATAGGTATGTTCATAACAGGCCCAAATGGTCTGTAGGGGAGTGGAAAACATATTCAGGGCCTCCCTGGTGGCTCAAGGGGTTAAGTCTCAGCACTATCAAGCTATCAGCAGCCACTGCAGCACGAGTTTGATCCCCAGCCAGGGCACTAACCCACGTGGTGCAGCAGGCCTCTCCTGATTCACCTGCTGCTCCCCTCAGCAGTACATTTCTTTAGATCCTTCTGTTCTGCTCCCCACTCTGTCTCTGGTGAATCCTCTTAACCCTCCCACACCTCTGGCCTACACCCCTGCTCTTGTACGCATAGATAAATAAATCTTTTTAAAATTTGTAATATATTCAGACAGAGTATTGTACATGCAATTAAAAATAATGAGCTGTCGATACGGGGGAAGGGATGAAAGTGTCTTTCCCCATCCACCTGGGTGGTGATTGCATGAGCGTGCATGGAGAAAATCCAGTCGAGCTCTGTATTTACGGCTTGTGCGCTTACTGCATGTGGGGGTGTGCCTCAGTGCTCAGGAAGCCTGCCTGTTTATTGAAGGTCTGGGGGAAAGAGAGAAAAAGACCTGCTTGGGGAGTGCAACTGGGAGAGCACAGTGACTTTCTAATTTTTACTTTCTCTGTTTCTGCATTGATTGAATTTAGGCCATAAAGAATTTTTTTAATTAAAAAAATTAAACAATTCTGAGATACAGGCTAAGTGGGAATAAAGCCCCATAAGAGTTTTGCCCAGGAGAGTGGAATTAATTCTGATTAAGGTGTGTGCAGAGCAGGCGTGTGGGCTGCAGGGGCTGTCATCACTGTCTAGTACCTTCTTCCCGCTGACCGCAAGTCCAGCAGCCCGCTCCCCTCTGTCCTGCAACCTCTCTTTTTACCCTTTTCTCATTACCTGAAAGTGTCCCTCTCATCCTCTCTCTGGCCTGACTGCTCTTCTTCTCTTATTCATTCCTCAGGTGCCTCATCGCATTCTTGGGCGTCTTCTTAATCACACGTAACAGGAAGAAGTCCATTCCATTTGAGCCCTATATTTCCATGGATGCCATGCCAGGTAATGTCAAACCCCACGTTTCCAGCTGGCCAGCCCATCCCTATAGAATGACGACAACATCCCGTTGAAAGAGAGACCGCGGCCACTGGTTCTGGTACTGGGAGGGCGTGCTGTGCCGTCATGGTGTGACTGTCTGTTTCTTTCTTTTTTAATCTCGGTGTGCAAAAGAGGAGGCAGTGGCTGAGGCACCTCGCTTGGTTTGAGCACATCTTGCTGGCTCCCATGTCTATTTCGGGATCTTTCAGACAATCCTGATTCACACTGGATGTAATTATGATCTGCAACACCAGGCTTCATGCCTGCAAAAGGAAAAATCCATCCCTCTAGTTGGCAAGGAATGATCAGAGAGGGCAAGGAAAATACAAAGAAGGAAATTCAAGTCTATAACCTCATTCCTTAGATTGCACGAGGGATCGTTCTGGAAATCCTAGTTTTCCAGAGACCTAAGAATTCATACTGAGAAGCTCAAGATCAGATACCTTTAAGCCTTCATAATAATAAATGTATGAATCGGCTGAATTCTGCACAAAAGGGTATGATGGGGCTTGTGGACAACTGGTGAGTACATACCTAGCCCCGGGGAGATCCAAATGGGAAAACTTAAGGCATGGGGCCAGCCTTACCTTGGTTTGCTGAGTTAAATTCTCTAGGTTTCTGGTGACTACTTTAACTCATCATATATGATGGAACTCTCTCAAAACATACCCCCACACCTCATTAAGACAGTCTCATTAACAAAATGTAATCACGTCAGTGACATCGAGTATAGCTTTTATAAAGTATTCTGTGATGCAGATGTGTCCCCAGGGCTGACTGAAGCGCCCCTACTTTTGATGGCCCCAGGGTTGATATGTCTCCTTTTATATTATTTCCTCATCTCTCGCTTATTCAGCTGTTGTCTGTCATTCTTGCTGTTACCAGCCTGCCTGCGTATAGCAGCTCCTTGTCAGTCATTTGACCCAACTTGTGCAAACTGTGTATAAAGTTAAAATAAATAAACTCTTAGTTGGGGACTTAAGGGTTCTCCCTAGGAGTAAAGTGCATGAGCTTTAGTGCATGGACCTTTTAAACATCTAATCTGGCTGCTGAGATGCCTTTTTTGCTTACTTCCTTGTTTCTCGGCTGTGTTCCGGATAGATGAGGGCGCTGGATAGCTGAATCCCAGATAGGTGAGGTGTCAACTCTGTGTGTGCAAGTATGTGTCCGTACCTGTGTGTTTGTGTGTTTTTAAAACTGTGTATGTGTATATATCTGTATAAAGACTTGTATATGCATATATACAGGTGTGTTTCCTGGTGGGAAATAGAAGGTAATCTAAGGTAACCTTAGAAATCAACATTGTGATGTTTGTGGATGTGGCTCTCGGCTTCCTCTGTGTCCTTGGGTCTGGTGGGATGTCAGATGTTGAAGGAAGGAGACCTTGCCCAATGGCTGGGGCACGTCAGGACACTTCTGAGCAGACGTGCGTTCTGTGCTGTGAATAGCTTGGCCTTGGAGTTCAGGTGACCTGGATTCAAATCCCAGCTCTGTTGCCAGCCCACTGTGTGACCTTGGCCATGTGCCTGGACCTCTGGCACTTGCTTGTGAATGTCCTTTCAGGGTCACGGGACCCTTCGCACTGTGTCTGGGATGTGGTAGATGCCTGGCTTAGTTTGGTTTCACTTTCTCTTTGAAAACTGGAAACTTTCAAACACTTCTCTGACCTGATGGCAGATAGCACATAAAGAATAAAACTATTTAACAGTTGTTTTTCTAGCTCTATGGTCTCCTGTCAGCATCAGAACCTTGCTTTCAGTTTACCTAGACTGTTATCTTCACAACAGACTGGTGGCTGCTGTTCAAGAGGCCTTCAAATTCCAAAACTTCACTGCATGTCACAATTTGGAGAGACATTTTTTCCTCTTCTTTTTTTTTTAGTGAAGATTTTAGTATTTGTGTATTTTTAGTATTTTAAATAATTCATTCAAGTGGTGCCTCTGGTTGTGAAAACCAAATTCCCTTAATACAATTGCTTTTCTTCAAGAACAGGTCACCTTTTTTTGAAACCAGCCAGGAAAAGGTATGACACATGGACATTGCAGGAAAGGTTAAGTGTATGAAATCCTATGTCATTTAACTCAATTCTCATTTTGAAACCTCACTTAGAGTTGTTATTCTATTAGTGCAGTAGTTCATTAAAATCCATGTACCTGTTACTTAGGTTTTTTGGAAATAAGTCAGTTTACTATAAAGACTTCCCAACGTCCAAGTACTACTGATGACTGGCACTTGAATGACCTTGAGTAAATCTTGAGATATGTAATCTTAGTAAATAATTTTATATTCAGTGGCCTGTTTCCATATCTTTAATGAAATATTATAAGGCTGTGTAAACTTGTATGTGTCCTGAGAGTGGTTTTACAAGTAAAAATTGCTAGGTAGACATAATTTCAGTTTAAGAAATTAATCTTCAATTTTTGGAGCACTAAACAAAAAGTTAATACTTAAGGTTTTTGTTTAACTTAAGGTTTTACGTTTGGACAAAATTTTTATTCTACTTCTCACATGCAACTTAGTCTACTAAGTACTGACAAAGGTGGCTGAGAAATGTTTGGTCTCGTTCAAAAACTTAATAGTTTTTTAGATCTTTAAATAAGTCAAATATAATGGTAAATATAGTATTTTGAATTTCTTATTTATTTTTTAAATTTCTTTGCATTTTAAAAGGACAGGTTTAGTAAGAGAAAGGGGAAAAAGAGACACCTGCATTGACACAGATGGGCAGGGAGCTGCCACAATTTGGAGAGGCTTACAGGAATCCCAGCACCCTGAAGACTTTTCAAAAATGAGAAAAGAGTAAAGCAGTGCTGGTAGCTGGCAGCTACCTGGCACTGACAGCTGGGCCGTGGCATTTCTGGCTAAATGCAAACCATTGCACAGAACATCAGCATCAGACAGGGGCCCTCTCTGGCCCTGGTGGATCAAGACGCCCGCAGGTCCACTCAGTGACCAGGCACAACATCACCAATAGCCATATCTCAGCACAACCTGCTGCCCCTTTCCCAGGCTGGCACGAGTGATTGCTGTTTCTTCATCAGTCGCAGCTTTAGCCTCAATCTAGTCTTCTCTCCTGGATAAAAATTAGAAGAGTCCCAATTGCAGAATTATCCCCGCTTCCTGCCAGCATCTAATCTAAAGCCAAGCCCTGCTTTAAACCATCCCTGATATCACCTACTACAAACCCAAATCCTCTCATTCCTGACACCCTCTTACTGAGGCACCCACAGTGCTCCATGGTTCATGTCTCCCTCATTCTAATGGGTCAATAAACCCAAGCTAATTAGACTGTAAGTGTGTTGCTGGTGGTCCTTTGCTGAAAAGCATTGACAAAAGCCAGAAGCTAAACCCTTTTCATCTTACAAAAGGTGATGATTCCAGAAAGAACCCAGCTCCAAAGTCACCCTGTACGTTGGCCTGGCAAGCCAGCTCTCTTCCTCGAGGAACAGGCACCCCCTCAGATCCTCAAGCTCTCCTCAAAAATCCAAACCATAGACTTGAAACTATACCCTTCAAATGACCCTCAGCTAAGGCTTTATGTAAGGTGGAAGCAAAGGGCCTTCCACAGACTGGGTCTTCCTGGGCCATTTGCAGAATGGATCAGAGCACAGGCTTTGGTGTCAGATTTCAGCTCTGCCTGGCATTCGCTGTGTGGCCTTGGGAAAATTACTTCACCACTCTGAATCTCTGTTTTCTTGTCCAGAAAATGAGCAGAGTAGCAGATCTCTGTCATAGGACTTTAGGGAATTAAGTGCAGGTATAGAGGGAGGCCACGCAGCATTCCTGCTATGAGTGTGGGCTTCAGAGTTTTCACCTATGGAGTTGGGTCCCTTGCACTTACAGCTTTGTGATCCCAAGCAAGTTACTTAACCTTCAACTGCCTCCTTTCCTTTATCAGTAGTTGTGAGGATCAAATGAGATAAAACTGTATAACTTTAGAACAGCGTCTACTGCCACCAACTAAACAGCTCGCATTAGCTGTTATCAGTATCTCTGTTGTTGTTACTAATATGACTTAACACACAACTGTTGTTTTCATGGTTTCATGGCAGATACTTTACATTCAGTTTCTTATAACTCAGCCTAGAGGTAAGAGAGTTTGAAGGGTCTTAATTCCCATCCTGGAAAGAGCTGGCTTCAGAGGAGACCAGGTCCCACCTGACTAGGGAGTTGTAAATGAGATGAAAGCAATTAATGATTAAAGTCTTTGCTCTCAACTGTAAGTAGAAATCCATCACCAATGTGCCCAGAAGTAATAAGCAAAAATCACGCTACTATTTCTGGCAGATCAGGGAAGTTAGGGTTAAAGGTCAACACTCTCCCTCCGAGCATCACGGTGCATTGTCACCATCCCGAGTCCATGACACAAATGGATCCTCTCTCCACAGTAGTACATGAAGTTTTCCGGATCCCGACGTAAAGTAGCAGAAAAGGGTTGGCATCTACCACGTTCACAGTGCAGTGCTGGTCCCGCTCTACCTGCCACCTAAACAGACATCCCACCTCATTCTAGACCCACCGAGGCTTGTCTCCACAGGGGCTGGTCTGTGTGCATATTTCCTGACGTTTCATCCCTTGTTGCTTAGCAACTGTCATTTTTCTCGTGTATATTTATGGCTGTTCTTTTTTCAATCTAAAGCATTCAGGAAATTGACAATGCACATGATTAGCTTCCAAGCACTATAATTAGTTGGCGGTGGGCTAGAGGAAGACGCAGCCTTCTGCAGCCCCCTTACCCCCATAATGACTGGGGAAATGGATTTCATTGCAGGTATGCAAAACATGCATGACAAGGGGATGACAGTCCAGCCTGACCTCAAAGCTTCTTTTTCCTACGGGGCCCTAGAAAATAACGACAGCGTCTCTGAGATCTACGCTCCTGCCACACTGCCCGTCATGCAAGAAGAGCACAGCTCCCGAGGTACCCCCGGGGTTCCCTACCGAGTCCTGGAGCACACCAAGAAGGAGTGAGCCCCCAGAAGGAGACGCACTTCCCCTCCATTTATAACTGCTCACGCTGTGCTGAGAGTGTTTCAACCTTAATTCTCAAACTTGCCTTTCAAGTCTTATTTTTTTAAACCAAGAACTCTATGGACAGAGATCTTGAAAGCCTTTGTCTCTGGCAAAGGATGCCTCGTTTTGGTCATGGAAATTTCACTGATGAGGGTGGGGGTGGGGGTGAATGCAGTATTCCAGATGAACAGTAGGGAACTCAGCTGCTGCCTGGCACAGGCCAGCCAGGTTTGGAAAGCCTTTATCATCCTGGATGATGGTGACTGAGCTTCCCTAGTCAGTGGCCAAAGGTCGCCATATTTTTCAGCATTAAAGCCAGGCAAAGATTCTGCTTTTACTTTGCAAATCCAATGAAAGGCTAGAGACCTTAAATCTAATCTTGCTCCACCTCCCGGGCTGGGCTGATCTCTGTCCATCTCACTCATGATTCCATATTTGTAGTACCTTCCATGTCGTCTTCGTGTGGCAGGGGGAGCGAGCCCGTGTGGAACATTCTGCCTGCAGGAAAGGCACAGCTGCCTCCCGTTGTGCCCTTCCAGTGAAGTGTGTTCAATGCCTTTGTGTTGGATAGATGAAAATTGACTTGCTTTTGGTTCTGTGAACTACTTGATTGCTTCCCCCCAGACACCCTAACAAGGGGATTGGGAGGTTATGAGTTGAAGGGGAGAGGGTGGGATAAGGACAGCAGTAGGGGTGGTGTTGCATTAGCCCATAAAGGAAGAAAAATCCCTTTTCTTCTTAGAAATTACAAAATGCAATTGCTTTACTTATAAACGGATAAACAGAAAATTGGCTGTTTTTTCCAGCCCTGGGAAGATTGGGGGTGTTCATCTTGCATCCGTCCTCTCCTTTATAGAGAGACAGACTCAAGCTTGAGCTCTTGGTTAATGCCCTGGGAGTCCATCGAGACCCTGGTCCTCGTGCCCACGCACAGGCATCTGGGAGAAGCGAGCATCCTCAGAAGTGGGGCTGCTGCTTGCTGTCTGGCTGTGTGCGTGCTTATCTTCCCTTAGACTGACAGGATACTTTGAGAATAGCAGATAATGGTTTGCAAACTTTAATGTGAATAAGGTTAAGGAGATTGTCTATAAATGCAGAGTCCTACATCCTAACCACAGATACGGGGATGGAGCCCCAGAGGCTGCAGTCTTACTGGCAGCACAGGTGATTCTGATACAGGTAATGCAGTAATCACACACCTTGAAAGCCTAATAATAAAAAGAGATGATCTGTTAAAACCCCCAGGGCCTCACACACCACTGCTAGAAAGTTGGAATTACCATTCCTCGTTTCCTCTCTAGGGTTCATTTGGCAGGTTGAATAATCCCCTTAGGATCTGTGGCATTTCTCCATCCAGTGATTACTACTTAGAACTATACTTACTGCTTCCCTAGGCAGCCTTTAACTAATAGGCAAGATAACAGTGTTAATAAACCAGTGTTGATAGATCATTAACCTTTATGTATCGTGCTTAATATTGATCTCGTACCCTGACTTCCAAAACTGACGTCTGTTTCCTGTGATATCCACTTCTGTGCTGTGTCTTACGTGCCTGGGAAGGCAACAGACCGTGCCATTTTCCCCTTTAGGGTAGGTATCAACTCGATTCAGCAATGTTTATGAGGTGGTTACTGTGGGTTAAGTATTTGCATGGCAAGGGCTACAAGGAATGAAACATAGTTCCTGCCCTCCTGGTTACAGGAGGAAACTGTGGCAGGGTCAGCCCTGAGAGATGCCAAGTGCAGTAACAGACCACAGAACAGGGTCTGTGGGTCCCCGCTGAAGGTCAGGGTCCCTGCTGAAGGTCAGGCCCTGAGCCTGGAACAGGGTATTCAGAACTGGACATGATTTTGGTCCGGTTCATTGATAGGTAGCAAATCTAGCTAAGTTTTGAACAGAGCATAAAAAATAGGGCGATGAGCACCCAGGCGGAGGGGACAGAGGCACAGAGATAGGGTCAGGCAGGGAGACTGGCAAAGAAAGAGCCAGGAAGGATGATGGGAAATGAGGAAATAAGCCTGGAAAGATAAGCAGTAGAAGCTGGATTAATGAGAGCCTTGAATGCCAGGCCAAAGAGTTTAAAGTGTATCCTAGAGAACATGGGAGCCATTGATCATGACGAAGAGAATGGCAGTATCCACACTGACTGGAAAGAAGGCTTTATGCAGGGTGGAAAAGAACTGAGGAATAATAAAAGTCACTTTTCAAGGTCAAGCTGCAAGCCTGCAAGAACAAACACAAAAGGAGTGTTACATTTTGGTACATTGTAATCTGAGCTCCACTGAAGATCATGGATTCTATGCCACCCCAAAGCCACTGGGGAAAGCCCCTCCACCTTCAGGTTTGGGGCAGTGGCATCCTACAAAGCTGAGTACAGGAGGCTGAGCAGAAAGTTGCATGTGGTTTCGAGTGGAGGCCAGGACTAGGTCACCTGGGTCCTTGGGAAGAACAGTCTTGGTGTCTAGAATTCTGACTCTGTCTCGGGCTAATGCTCCAGTCTTTGTCCCCAGTGTAGGGTGGTTTGCTGGTGACAGATGAGCAGCACTTGCTGTTAGGGGAGAAAGACATCACCTTTTCACACAACCTAATGATGTTTATCCCCAGACCTCTTGGGTGCTCCAGGCCACATTAAATATCATACCTCCATCGCCTTCCTAGCAGCCAGTACCTAAGTCAAGATGACCAAATGTGAGTTTGAACTTTTCAGTTCTTCTCCCGCCTTCTCTCCCCACCCCACCCTGTGCACCTCCTCTGATGGGCCGGGGTGCTGAGTCCCGAAATGAGACATCAGAAACAGTTGTTTGCAGACTGTCCCTGCGGAATTTGATGAGAGCTCAGCCCCTGCTCTCTAGTCCCCAAACCCCTCCTGTGAAGCTGCAGGTCAGAGATCATATTAGCTTCAGGTCCCACCGGTGTTTTGCGGTGTAGAACTGGATGCTGGGTAGGAAAGGGGGCTGGCATCTCCATTGCTTTTCTGGTGGACACCAGCCAGCTTGATGGTGCTGTGAGGAGGTGAGGTGTCCATCAGGCTAGGCTGCGGGTCCTCCACCCCGCACCTTGTCAATTCCATGTCTGTCCAACACTGGCTTAAGGCAAAAAAAAAAAATTCACCGTGTGTTCAATGAAGCCACCTTAGAACATACTCTCTGTGGATACTTATATTTTGTTAACTTTGTGACTGGTATGGCATGTCTTATTTTTCAAAAACTGTGTGTGCTAGGTGCAAATAACATTATGAAGTGGTATTTAATTAAAAAATATATCTGTGTGATACCTGTTGTGTTTGAGTCTTATGTCTGGCTAATATTTTCTAGAGTTATCTAAAACCGTGCTGTCCAGTAGAACTGTCAGTGATGATGGTCCTTGTATGCCTCTCAATACAAGGACCGCTATCCACATGTGGCTCTTGCGCACTTTAAAAGTGGCTGGTGTGATCTAGAACTGGCTGTTTAGTCTTCCTTGAATTTAAATATCCACGCACAGCTCGTGGCTGCTGTGGTGACAGTGGCCCTAGAGATGCCTGTGATTGCAGGTAAGGGTAAATTAAGCTTTCCTTTCCTTGCAGTGGTCGAGAGCATAGATTCTGTGGCCAGCCGCTTAGGTTTGATTCCAGGCCCCACCTCTTGTTAACTGTGTGGCACTGGGCAAGTTACTTAAACTCTGCCTCATCTCTGAGGAGACAACAGGAGTAACAACTGTCTGCCTAAAGGTTTATTACAAGGATCAGGTAAGTTAATAGGTGTCCCAGTAACACATTATATTGTATTGAAGCAGTGGTTTTCCTCTAGTTACATTTTCAATTTACATTTCTATTTACATTTTCAATTATATGATGAACACTTGGGTTTTTTCTTAATGAAATAATTCTAAGCATTCATGTCTCTCTTCATTCTAAGTTTCCAGCCTACAGAGGCAGGTGTGGTACAGTGCCTAAAGTTCTGTTTATATACACTCACAGTTCCACTGTGTGCTCTGCCATTGCTCTGGGGTTTCCCTCTCTGACTTTCTCATCTTGTCTTGACCCTGCCTTGACTTCTCTCTAGAGGCCCCTCTGAAGCCGGCACCAGGGTGGTCGGCTGCCCCCTGCTGGTCACCTCCCCCTGATGCACACTCCCCTCGCCCTCCCTGTCCTGGAGAGAAAACAGTCCTTACCAAAGGCCTCTCCCTCAGAAGCTTGGGCAGGCTTTCAGCAGCAACCCTGCAAATGGCTTCTTTTTAGCCCACAGGCCCAAACCTCAGGAGCCTTTCACATGCGGGCTCCTCACCTGGCTCCAGGTAGGCCGTCTTCATACTCTGGGACCAGCCCCATATCCTCTTTCTCCTCTACCAGGCACCTGAGAACCCAGACCTGACTGATAAACAGGGGACAGAAAGAACAAGTGTGTGTATGTATGTGTATGTGTGTATATGTATGTGTGTATATGTATGTGTGTATATGCATATGGCTATAACCAGACAGTGCTCACCAGAACCTGATCACCTGGCACCAGGATCTCAGATTTCAGCCTCCAGAACTGAGAATGCCTTTCTCAACAACAGATGCCTGTTGTTGAGAAAGCCACCCAGTTTATGGTGTTCTATGATTGCAGCCCGATTAAGATAGTAAGCCATTAAGAACTTTCCTCTCAGCTCCCAGTACCTGCCCTTCAGCAGCTGGCTTTGGGGTGCAGGGCTGGAACTCTGCAAACCACCTTTCTGCTTTGCAGGTTGCTCCTAGGTGGGGGCTGTGAGATGAGACTCCCCTTGGCTCCTTGTGTCTGTGAGGCTGCAGGAAGAAGGGACATGCTCCTTCTTGTCCATTTCCTGCCCTGTGCACGTCACCCCAGCCTGCCTTCTGCACGCTGGGCCAGCAGTGCTGAATCTCCCTTTGCAGTTCTTTCCAGCTCCTGCACCACCAGCTTCATGGCATCCCTCCTCAGGGGTCTGCATTCCCTCAGGGAGCCAGCAGTCCCTCCTCAGAGTGCTGGGGTTCAAGCCCATAGGACCCCAGCTCTCATCTTTTTGAAACAGCCATATTGGCATAATACATAAGCCACGCAATTCACTCCTTTAAATTGTACAATACAATAGTTTTAAGCATATTCACGGATGTGTGCAACCTTCGCCACAGTCAATTTTAGAACATTTTCATCACCTCGAAAGGAAACTCTGAAAAGAAAATAACAAGTGTTTTGAGGACACAGGACCCTGGTACGCTGCTTGTGGGAATGGAAAATGAGGCAGACTATGAAAAACAGTGTGGTGATTTCTCAAAAAAAATAAAAATAGAATTACCAGGTGATCCAGAAATGCCACTTCTGGGATTCATGCAAAAGAACTGAAAGTAGGGTCTTGAACAGTTCATAGACCTAAGTTCATAGCAGCGTTATTCACAATCGCCAAAAGCAACCCAAGTGTCCACCAACAGATGAATGGGTGTGGCATATACAGACCGTGGAATAGTATTCAGCCTCATGGCAAAGGAAATGCTGACATATGCTCAATATGCAGGAAACCTGAGGACGTTATGAGCCCGACACAGAAGGACAAATATTGAATGATTCCATATATGTGAGCTACTTCGCGTGACCCAATTCATAGAAACAGAAATTTAAAATTTTTTTTAGAACAACACACATTTATTTTCTTATTTCTGAAAGTAAAGAAGTCCTAAAAATCAAAGGTCTCAACAGCACTGATTTCCTTCAGGAGAATCTGTTCTCTTGGCTTCTCCAGACAGCAGCCCTTGCCACAGATACCTTCATGCATCTTCAACACCATCAGCATAGCGTGTTCAGGTCTCTCTGCCTCGAGACAGAATATCTTTACATTGGTTGCTAGGGGCTTTCGAGAAGGACGATGAGGAGTTATTGCTTAATAGGTACAGAGTTTCAGTTTAGGGGGAAAGTTCTGAGGTGATAGTGATGGTTGCACACGAAGTGCAAATGTGCTTATTGTCATTTAAACCATACACTTGATGGGCCTCCCTGGCGGCCCAAGAGGTTAAGTCTCAGCGCTGTGAAGCTATCTGCAGTCACTGCAGTGGGAGTTGGATCCCCTGCAGGCCAGGCAGCTACCCACATGGTGCAGCAGACCTCTCCTGTCTGGCCTGTTGCTCCCCTCAACAGTGTATCTCAATCTGCCTGTTCTGTTCCCCACTCTGTCTCTAGTGAGTCCTCTTACTCCCCTCCTGCCCCCCACCACTCCTCTGGTCTACACCCCAGCTCTTATATGCATAAACAACTAAATTGTTAAACAAACAAAAAAAAAACACTTAAAAATGGTAGATTTGTGTTATGTATATTTTACCACAATTAAAAAAAAACAAACTCCATACTCCTTGGCTCTCACCTCGCCATACTCCCTATAGCTCCTGTCCCCACCTCTCAGCTCCTGGCAACCAGGCAACCATGGACTTAGCTTCTGTTTCTGTAGATTTCCCTAGTTTGGACTCTCATATGAACAGAATTGAGGCTGAAGACCTGAAATTACGGTATCAGAATCATACCCTAGGGGAGCAACATGAATGGCTTCTCTCAGTTACCATCACGTTTTCACCCTAGTTGTAGCATGTAGCAATGTCTCCTTCGCCTTTTGTGCCTGCATAGCTCCTTACTGCCTACATTTCAATAACTGCACCTTCTCCCCTTGGTTCCTTCGGTCCTAGGAATGGTCGCTGCTTCCTGCAGTTGCTCTCTTGAGCCCTTCAGTTACCTAGTTCATCACTTTAAATCTAGGTAGCAGTTCTTTTTTTTTTAAAGATTTATTTATTTATGCACACTAGAAGTGGGGTACAGGCCAGAGGTGTGGAGGGTGAGAGGATTCACCAGAGACAGAATGGGAAGCAGAACAGGCAGACTGACTGAAACACACTGTGGAGGGGAGCAGCAGACAAGTCAGGAGAGGTCTGCTGTGCCATGTGGGTAGCTCCCTGGCCAGCAGGGATCAAACTGTCCCTGCAGTGGCTGCGAATAGCCGCATGGGCTGAGTCTTAACCCCTCGTGTCACCAGGGAGGCCCCAGGTAGCAATTCTTTATAATAAATTCTTTCAGATCAAATCACTGGTGTGATTCTTTATCTTCTGATCCAACCAAAATAATTTGAATCCCTGGGATGTTCATGTAGCTGGCCATTTTGAATGTTCTTTTTTCCTTCTGAGTGCTCTGTGACCCTCCCCCGCCACCCATCCGCAGCTCTAATTAATCAGGAAATAATATCCTAACAAATTCAAGGATTGCCACTTTGATGGAGGAGCTTCTTCCAGTGTGCAGTGGACCCGCTGTTCTGGAGCCAATCTGCCATTAACTCAGAGCCTCTGAGTCTGCGGCAAATGAAAGCGATTCTCTTATTTAGAGCAACGCAGCGAGATGAAATCATAGGCAGCGCCCGCCCTTCAGCACACACTGACTGATGTATTTTCATGCCCAAGCCTCAAAATGATACAGGAAGGGGTTTTTAAGACAGGTTACTGTTTATTAAAAATGTAAAGTTCTTGTGTGTGTTTTTATTAGGATATTAGAATTTTCCGGGAACTTTCAAAGACCAGTTCATCACCTGTATCTCACAACTGTCTGTGAGGGAGGTGCCAGGGTTGTTTTCACTTAGCTGAAGAGGAACCAGGTTTAAAGCATGTAAGGTTTGCTCAGGGTTAAACAGCTGCTAGTAATCCAACCAGGATATGAGCCTGCAGGTTTTTGAAGACTTTTAAATAAAACATCTCAGCCTGAAAATGTCTCTCTTGTACATTGCTGAAGGTTGAGGGTTGTGGGAAGAAAGATATGGGAAAGTAGATTAATGGCTGGCAAGGGTTTGGAGAGAATTGGGAGTAAGTACTAATAGGCCTGGGGATTCTTTCTGGGGTCATGAAAATGTCCTGGAATGAGGTGATCAGCACACACCTTTGTGAATATACTAAACATCACTGAATTGTACCTAATAGGGTGAATTTAGGTGAATTTTATCTCAATAAAGACATTATTAAAAAAACCAAAAAAAAAAAAAAAAGAAAGATATGGGAAGGAAGGAGTAAACATTGGTAAAACGTTTCTGAATAGTATTTGGAAATACGTGGACCCTCACATTCCCCTCCAGATAACAAAACTACAACAATCAAAATTGTTTCTATTCACAACCAGATCAATGAACAGAAGAAATAACCCAGAAATATATTTGCATAGATATGTGTGCAGATACACTGTGGTTTTGAATATATACAGAACAGTGGATAAAATGCATTCTTTAAAAATTAAAGCTGGAACCATTGAAAAAAGAATTTAAGTTAGAGC